GCTAGTAAATGTCTGTGTCAAGTTGGGCAAGTCATTTAACCATCTTTGCCTCAAGTTTCCTCATCTGTAAAATGAGCTGAAGAAGGAAATGGCAAACCACTCCTATCTTTGCCAAAAAAATCCCAAATGGGGTCACAAAGAGTTGGACAGGACTCAACAACAACAACAAATAGCCAACCTGATGGGTATAAGGTGGTACCTCAGGTTGTTTTAATTTTCATTTCTCTAATTATTAAGTGATTTAGAACATTTTTTCATATGGCTACTGACTGCTTTATTTCTTCCTCTGAAAACTGCCTATTCATAACCTTTGACCATTTTACTACATTCTTTTAAAGAACAAGTTGTACATAATATATTTGCATTTTTACACATAACTCTCTTTCTTTCTATTTTGTATATGGAAATATTCTTTTTTGGCATTTGTTAAATTCAGAATAAAAAAAATTAAAGGGCTGTTGTTTGGGATTAAAATGAGCTCATGAATAAGAAAAATTGTGAAAACCTGAAATGACTATAGAAATATAAGATGGTATATTATCATAAAATCTAGTCGTTTCAGGAAAGGACAAAATTAGAACAAATGATTACTTTGAAGCAGGGGGAAGAAGAGGAGAGACAAAAATTTAATTTTTAAAAAGTAAAAGGACAGAAGTGGGGCTTGAAGGAGACTTCGTTGTTCTATTCCATTCCACTCTGACATACAGAAGTCCCTAGTGGATGTCATCAGATTTTGTTCTGGAGTTCTTTAAGTTGGTGAGTATAACTAGACTGCCACCTCTGGCCACACAAAAAGGTCTGTTGTCATCTGTAACAGGATCCTGGGAAATTGACTTTGCCCAAGGTCACTGGTGAGTCACCAGTGTGGCCTTGTTTTGAAAGCTCTGGCTCTTCCTGTCTGCCTGCTCATCACTCCAGCCACTGCCTTCCTCAGACAGGCTGCAGGCTAAATGCCTAACTCTGCTTCAGAGTAGCTCCCTTTTCTTCTTCCCTTTGTCTTACTGGTGCCCCTGTCAACTCCAGGTTACTCCCTGACAGATGGGAAAAGCCTCTGACAGACTCAATCTCTCTGAGCACTAGGAAGACCCACCTGCTCAGGCTTTTTTTCCTCCACCTTGATTTGACTGAATCCATGACAGGCAGCTGACACTTGATCCTAATAGTTCTCTGGGGGAGTCTGTCACCATAGTAACCAAAAAGTCAAAGGAAAATGTATAAACTGGGTCCTGAACGAACTGAAGGCACCTGGAAGGATCCAGCTACACATATGCCAACCTCAGATGCACTGTCAAATCCCTGGAAGATACTTGAAATTCCAATGGCTGATCAACGATGACTCATCAAGCACCAAATCTCAACCTTCTGCGTTCCTGAAAGATGCTATTCCTGAAGCTGCTATCCTATATGTCATCCAGCATACTGACCTGGAAATTTTAAAAAGCTGTTTACGTTTGAGAGTTATCATCACTTTAGTCTTTCTCTGAAGGAAATCCTAACCCCTTTGAAGCACAGGAAAGCTGAAAATATTCTTTGAGCTGGTCCTAACTGTGATTTCTCTATACAATGCAGGCCTTAGATTAGGGGATTTGAAGCAATTCAGGATGACCTGAAGGAGATCAAGCTAGCCTGTATTTGTTAAAGTCTCCAAAGCTGCCCGAACCACTGCTTAAAGCTGGATATTTCTCCCTCTAAAACACTAAGCCTCAACATCAAAGTATTCAAGAAGATAAGGAATACAGCCTTGGCTGGCTTTGGAAGATACTAAACTTGAAAAAAAAACCAAACAAACAAACCCTGGACAGCTCTAATTTAATGAAGAAGAATTCCCTTCTGACTCAATTCCAGGGCTAACTGTCCATCTTTCCCCAATCATCTACAAAGATTTCCCAGGGTTTCTTCCTCCTTCAGGAACCAATTAAATGAAAATAGATTTCCAACCAGAGGCTTTAATAACCTTGCCTTTTGTTGGTATGTTCAGGGATAAGAGAATTCCTGGATCTCTATGACATACTAGGACAATCTTTCACGGTCCACAAAAGAGCTGGAACCAAGGTTAGGATATATATTCATTAACCTGGTTCTCCTATTGGCTACACAGCCTCAGAATAAAAAGGAAAAGGAAATCAAGTAATGGATAGATAATCTACCAGATATCTTCTTGATCCCTTCTTGATCTCTTCTACTGCTTTTTTTTTCCTAATGTCTATGAGTGGATAGCAGGATATTGTCCTCAATGTCAAATTTATTCACCAAGATAGGTCTTGCATGATTCTAGCAAACAAGATAAAAAGGTATTTTAAATATTTACCAAGTTATTATATAGAGAAACTATAATAAAGGAAAAGTTCACTGCACTGGTCTTTAATATTGCTATTCAATCTGAACCAATTTTAAACTGATATTCAATACTGAATCTGTCTTCAATATTTCAACAGATTTGTAATATCAACACTGCAGGAAGCAATACATCCATACCTTTTATCCTGTGTGACTGGCATCTATGACCTCACATATATCTTCCATAGAAGATCTACTCAATGTACCAGAGGACTTTCTCTTAATACTCTTCAGGGATCAGTGAAGTCTTGGGGCTCTCTATTTATGATTTCTCATAATTAGGACATAAGAGAACCACCTCCTTTTTATGAAATCATACTGTATTATATATTTCTTTTTTGAGGAGACAAATAAACATGTAAACAAGGGAAAACCTGTGCACCTAATTTATGTAGTAGACCTTCAAAATGCCTCTGACAAGGATTCACAACCAAACTGAATTAACACAGAATTATTGGCAATGGGAAAGCTTTGTTTTTGGCAGGGGACAGTCTCAAAGGGTAATGAAAAATGGATTAAGAAATGTAAAAAAGAGGGCATAGGGTACCATACTACAATAAATACTGGAGTCACAAGACCTCGGGGCTCTATTCTTGTCCTAATTAGGAGTGTGACTTTAGGCAAGTTACAATTTCTCTTGGTCTAAGTTTCCTCATCTGTAAAATGAGAAGTCAGGATTAAAGTATTCACATCATTTTTACCCAGTATCACTTCCAGTTGTAAAATTTTATTTCATAATTCTCCTACAAATGATAGTATACAGGGCACAGAAAGTGAAATTTCCTAATTGACAACCAGATGCTAAGCTCTCCCAATTAATGAAATACAAAACAATAAACTACAGGAAAAGATCACAAAGCTGGAAAAATGGTAGCTGATTTTTAATGTGGACTAATTATACAAACCAAACTTACAAACATACTTACATTACATACTTAGTTTCTGATCTGAGCTGTCAGATGTGTATCAGGAAAGAGATCTAGGTGCTGTCATAAAACTGTTCCCTGAACAGATCAATCCAACGGGCCAATGCAGTGCTGTGTAGCACCAGGAAGAAAAGCTGAACCTGTTATGCAGCATATGTAGAAAAAATATGTCCAGGTATATCTATACTCGGACAACTGTGTGAAGTCTGGGCTTCCTAAATAAAAATATAATCAAGTTGGGGAAAGATCCAAAGACAACTAAAACAATCAAGACAACTGAAAGGTGGTGAAAAAAGGGAAGATTCTTCAGCTTGATAAGAAAAAAAGGGGCAGAGGGCAGGGCAACATACAAAGATATGCAAAGACTAGCTGAGAAACTCATTTATATATTTCTCAAAATAGAGGAAACAACACCTTGGGCTTGAAAGAGCCAGATTTCTAAAGTGTTATGGGATAAATACAAATACAAGAAAGTTTAAGACAGGTTTAAAAATTCATGGACTTTATGTCCACAATGTGTTAAAAGCTGGGGCCATTGGGGATCATAAATAGCTTTTTAAGATTAAAGTCAAAGGGAGGATGTCCATGCTTCCAAACCAAACAGTTCTTAATGCCACAGCCAGAGACAATGATGGTCAAAACAAACTGCTAGCACAATCCAATATAACATTTCTTATAATCTGACAGTGTGTATGGACACTTTGTAAAGGTTAGGAGGACAACTGGCTGTCCTGAAAATTGTAACTGTTACTGTCAATGAATCGTTATTACAGATTTGGCTTCTAGCATTTGAGTGAAAAGCAGAATGCCCAGATTCCATTCAAGACTCCACCACAGGAGCAAACAAATCACAGGCATATGTACCACAGACACAAACATCCTCTTGTGGGCTTTGGTTTTCTTCTAAGAACAAAGAGAGAATACTCTCTTTTCTTCTAACGATCTCACAAGAAAGGTAAAAGGTTGAGTGAAATGAATCAATCAACTGAGCTTGTTAGGCACAATGTAGTATTTCCAAGTACAGCAACATCTGACTAAATTTATATAGAAAAGAGGAAAATGACATTTCATTCTGAGAGGCAAATAACTGACCTACAAGACACCTTCACACTACTGACATTTTTTTCAAGCAATAAAATTAAAACTCTTACCTCACTATCAGATTACCATCGGGAAGCCTTCCTGTACGCTGGCAATTTCCTAATTATGCTTAAGAAGGACCCTACTAATTGGGCTCTCATTTTACTAATTATCTCTCTTTTGTTGAACATAAACACCCTTAGGAAGAATCCCAATCAATCAGAATCTTGGAGCTGGAAGAATCCTCAGAGGTCACCTAGTCTAAAAGGAATTCCTTCTACAGAAGCCTGGACAAGTGGTCACTCAGCTTCCTGTGGAGACCTCCAGGAATAAGGAACCCACTAAAGCAGCCCAATTCACTTTCTGACAGTTATAATGACAATTCTGAAATTGTAAGGGTTTCCTTAGATGGAGTCAAAATCTGCATCTCTCAACCTAGCATGGAGTACGCCATAGAGGTTAGCTAAATAGAATTAAAATTAATGAATTGGGCCGTCTCAAACAGAGCCACCTGGTGGGCATGAGCACTGGAAAAGCACGACTGAATAGGCTGCCCATCCTCAGACCCCAGAGGCTCTGGCTCTGTCCATCGCCCGCCCCCTCCCCCAACCCCAGGCGCAGGGAGGCAGCACCCGGGCCATCCTGGAGCATCCTTACCTTTCAGCAGGTCTGGGTCCACATAGCCCAGCACGTCGGCCACTCCCAGCTCCTGGCGAGAGCAGGTACCCCCATGGATGTGCAGCCAGGCCGGCTCGGCCAGCGCGGTGCACAGGGCAGTGATGGAGAGGGCCCCCGGCAGCGCCGAGGCCAGGCTACGCTCCGGCTGCTTGGGCAGGGCGCTGCCCCCTGGGCCTCTCCGCCGGCGCCCACCAGGCAGCCCTGCGCCTCCCGGGGCGTACATGCCGGGGAGCCCGCCGGGCTGGGCCCGATCCTCTAGGACTGCTTGCTCGCTGCTCGCCCGCTGCCCACCTTCGGCTGACCGAAAGCCTGGGTGAGAAGAGAAAAAGAAGGGCACTGCGGGGGGCGGCCCGGCTCAAGCCCCGGCACAGCGGGGGGCGGAGACCCGGGGCTCGGCGGGGAGGGGGCAGGAGACCGTCGCTCCAGCTGGGGGAGGGGGGTACAACCGGCAATCCCAGGGCAGCCCCCACCCCCCAGCCCATCCATCCATCTATCCATCCTCAGCCCTCCGCTCACCTCCGCTCGGGGTTCGCGCCACGCAGCTCCGGGCCCGTCACCTCCGCTCCTCGCCCCGGGCCCACCCGCCAGGTTCCCCGGTCGAGCGATCCCGGAGCCCGAACCCGCAACGCCCGGACTCGGCCAGAGCCCGGTCCACTTCCGGCTTCCTCCCTCCGCTCCCCCCTCCCGCCCCCACCCCTTCTTTCCCCGGACCACTCGTCATGACGCCGCGTACGTGTTTCGTAAGCATCCTCCCCTCTTCTCCCCTCCCCCCGCCCCGCCTCTGCTGCTCCTGTGTTGCTTCCAGGGACCATTTGGGGTCGGCCAGATCCAGTTCTGGGAAGGATCCGCTTACCTGGGAACGGGGTGCGAGCCCGCTGCGGCTCGTGAGGCTGTAGAAGACTCGACCGTGCTTCCGAGTCCCCAGGAGACAACTACAACACCCAGAAGGCAGTGCGGCAGCCGGACCCAGCGGGCACTACAGTTCCCAGGAGATTTCGGGGCCCGAGAGCGGAAGTGGAGGGGACCTGGGGGGGGGGTCGCCGCGGGACTCTGGAGCTGAGTTACTGCTAGAGTTCCGAGCAGACCTTGACTCGGCCTCCAAGGGAGCGGGGGGGGGGGGGCCCGGGTCCGGCGGAGCTTGAGCGCCGCCATGAAGGACTCCCTGGTGCTCCTGGCCCGCGTGCCGGCCCACCCCGACTCCCGCTGCTGGTTTCTGGCCTGGAACCCTGCCGGGACCCTGCTGGCCTCGTGCGGCGGTGACCGCAGCATTCGCATCTGGGGCAAGGAGGGTAAGGGCCAGGCCCCCCGCACCCCTCCCTTCGGGGCCCTTGGTCCTGGACGCTCTCCCCATCCTCCCCTTCCCCCCGCCCTTCTTTAGGTGCCACCCCACGGGGAAGCCCCCAAATCAGGTGCCTTGCGTAATTATAGTGACCAACAGCGTTTCAAAGTTTACGAAACTCAGTGCATTCGCTATCTAGTTGAATGAGGGAAGATTACAGGTGTGATCCTCATCTTTTAAAAAGGCGAGAAATTCGACTCAGGTTACGGTGACATGCTCTTGATGCCTAGTATCAGAATTCGAATCCAGGTCTTCCCGGCCTCAAGTTTTTGCCGTGTCATGCTACCCTCCTCCATCCACCATCCTGGAATTGTTCCCAGATTCCTCCCCTCCCCTACCCCATCCCACCAGCCATGTCACTGGAGAGAAGTTTAATCTCCCCCCACCCCCAAAAATGTAAGGGAGGTATCCCTGGTGCTAATGCATCAGTTGTTTTCTCTAAGATAAGAAATCTGTCGTGTCTTTCTTCAGCCACCTTCCTCCCCACATCAAGCTCCTTGGCTGATGCTGTGACCTGCATCATCTTTCTCTCTAGGTGATGGCTGGGTGTGTAAGTCAGTTCTGGCCGAGGGTCACCAGCGCACTGTGAGGAAGGTGGCCTGGTCCCCTTGTGGGAACTACCTGGCATCTGCAAGTTTTGATGCTACCACCTGTATTTGGAAGAAGAACAAGGATGACTTTGAGGTAACTAGGCTGGAGCTTTCTGGCTGAGGATGATTAAATCCTGAGCCCACCTGTGCTTGGCTTTTTTAGTTTATTTCGATTAAGCATTTATTATTATCACCGAACAAGTAACTATTATTGCCATTATTTATTATCTGGTTGCAAGGAATTTTGCAGCATACTGGGGCAATAAGACAAAAATGGGGCGCTCCATGAGTTTGAAATGTAAATACAGATAAATGCAAAATATATACAAATAATTATCTAGGATGGGGGGGGAGGGAAAGGATAGTGATTGAGGGAATCAAGAAAGGCCTCTCTGGACCTTCTCCTTCTATTGACTTTCACCCACTATACTTTCCACAGTGTGTAACCACCCTTGAAGGACATGAAAATGAAGTAAAGTCAGTAGCTTGGGCCCCATCTGGTAGCCTTTTGGCTACCTGCAGCCGGGACAAGAGTGTCTGGGTCTGGGAAGGTGAGTAGCATAGCTTGTGTGGAGATAGTTAAGAAAGGTAGTCAGTTGTATCCTTCTTAATGTAGCCTTTGGCTGTTGGGCTCATAGTGTCCTTACCTCCTACAGTTGATGAAGAGGATGAATATGAATGTGTCAGTGTTTTGAATTCACATACACAGGATGTTAAACATGTGATATGGCACCCTAACCAAGAGGTAAGAATCTGGGGTAGGGGCAACTTTTGGGACAAAAAGTCTTGGGACTTTGAAAATCTCTGATGTTAAACAGTCTTAATTCTGTCCCTCCTGAGCTTGGACTCTAAACTGTTGTATGCTGTAAATCAAAACCTTGAAGCTACTCTTAGAAACATGTAATAAAGCCCCTCCAGGCTGTAAGAGCATGTGGGCCTAGTGGGAAGAGATAGTGTGGATATTCCGTAACTCCTTAACAAAGGCTGCTTGCTAGGTGGTACAGTGGATAGACTTGGAGTCAGAAAACTTGAGTTCATAACTGTCTCAGACCTTTACTATGTGATCTGCCTTAGTTTCATCATCTGTAAAATAGGGGTGATGATGCCTGTCAAGATCAAAAGAGATGTGTGTAAATGTGACACTTGTGATATTTGCAAATCTGAAAGCACTATACAAATGCTCGTTATCATTAACTTGCTTAGCAGTATTGATGTGTCCTGTGTGTTGTTCTAGCTGTTGGCATCAGCCAGCTATGATGACACAGTAAAGCTATACCGGGAAGAAGAGGATGATTGGGTATGCTTTGCTACCCTGGAAGGCCATGAGTCCACAGTGTGGAGCTTGTCCTTTGACCCCAGTGGCCAGCGCCTGGCGTCCTGCAGTGATGACCGAACCGTGCGCATTTGGCGCCAGTACCTACCAGGCAATGAGCAAGGTGAGTTGCCAGAAACTAAGGCAGAGAATGGCTTCTCTAAGATTCGGATCAGAATCCTCCGGAGACATCTGCTGTAAGAAGCAACTTGTTTTTCAAACTAATTAGAGACTTTTTGTAACAGGAGTGGCCTGCAGTGGCTCTGACCCTACATGGAAGTGTATCTGCACCTTATCTGGCTTCCATTCTAGAACTGTTTATGATGTCTCTTGGTAAGTCCCTTTCATTCATGAAGCTGGTACACACATATCCTGCACTGGCTTCTACTCATTGAGATTGAGCTGGATTGTTGATTTTGCCAGATCTGGCCAGTACTAGCCTCCTGATGTAACAAGCTCACACTAACTGCTGGTCTGGGAGTATTTAGACAGAAGATGGATAGGCCTGGAGATCAGCTTGATTTGGGCTATGGAGTCATTATTTATTATCTTACTATCAAGAAATATTTGACTGTCTCTGTGTCTGGAGTATATGGAGTTAGTTTCCCCTTATGAAATATGTGTTAAGGAAGACTGGAAAGTAGTTTCAGCACTAATTCTGGCTCAGTAATTGGTCTCTGTATTGAAAATGGCTTAGGGAACTTTTCTTTCAATCTCTTCCAAGCTAAAGCTACCTCTAAAATTGCATATAAGCATGTTCGTAGAGGTTTAGAAATGTTAGGATTAGGTGGGTTGGTCTCTAGGTCTGTTCAAGGAAGATCTTGAGTAAAACTTGTGGCTGAATCCTAAAGGGAGACTGGACTTTTGAGACCAAGTTGGGAAAACTAGTACCTCTCCCAACATCACGATTCCAGTTCTGCTTAGAATTGACGTATTTGGAGCAGCTAAGTAGCTCAGTGGATAGACCACCAGCCCTGGAGTGAGGAGGACCCAAGTTCAAATTCTGTCTCAGACCAGACACTTACTAGCTGTGTGACCTTGGGCAAGTCACTTAATCCCAATTGCCTTGCCCCCCAAAAAACTACCTATGCATTGAAAAGCAACACCTTTCTTCCTAGGTGTCACCTGACAGGGGCTCTGGCCACAGCTTGTGGTGATGATGCCATTCGAGTATTTGAAGAAGATCCCAGCTCAGACCCTCAGCAGCCATCTTTTTCCCTAACAGCTCACCTACCCCAGGCCCATTCTCAGGATGTGAACTGTGTAGCTTGGAACCCCAAGGAGCCAGGACTGCTGGCTTCTTGCAGTGATGATGGTGAGATGGCTTTCTGGAAATACCAACAACCGGAAAGTCTCTAAGGCCTTTTACCCACACATATCCCCTGAACCTTTCAGCAGAGGGATAATACTGATTTTCCCCAGAGGGGGGAAAAAATCACGAGTCAGTTTTCTCAGTCTATGTAAAAAGCCTGAAGGAACACAGTGCTAGCTTCACTCTCTTCATGTCTGAACTTAATCCCCTATTCATTTGTTAGAAGCTGGTTGAAAGAGCCCAGCTCTAGGATCACTAATAATTTTTCCATCCTTTTGACTTGGGCCTCTAGTTCAGTTGTGTAAAATAAATGTTTTAAAAATCTTATCCTCAGCTTTTGTTTGCATTAAGGTGGGTATGGAGTATTAATTATTTAAATATCTATACTGTATATGGATTTATAAAAATTTCATGGCTTTCATTTTGAGAAACTCAGCCAGGTGTATGAATTAAATTGAATATTTAAGAGAGAGCGACAGTACTGGATGTCAGAAATACCCCTCAATACACCTTTAGTCACTTCTCATTTCAGCTCTGTATCTCTGTCTCCCAAGCCATTTTTGCCAGTCTTAAGACCACTGTAACTATTCATGACTCACAGAAAAATTTCCAGGGACTACAGGGAAGCTGGGAATGGACCACCCAGTAGAACTGGTCCTGCTCAGATTTAGGAATGAGTGTTCTATATTCTTATATGCACTTTCATGTCCACTTATCTCTATATACAAACAAGTTATATAAAGGATAAATTTAGGAGGTAATCTCAGAGAGAAGGTTGAGGACCAGGAAAGGTTTCTTGCAGAAGGCAGGCAGGGCCAGAACTAAAGTCTGCCTTGCATTCCACAACCTGTTTTAATTGGAACCCAAGAATGACTCACTACCACAAAATGTTCAAGTCTCCTTCAGATGAAATTTAGCATATTTTCCAGCTCTACATTCTTTTGAAGAAGTAGCAATTCAAGGAAATCCACAGATTTAGCACATGCAACTTTGGCTTCTCAAACCTGCCTGGATCACTTGCTTAAAATGATACTGTGCATATGATCTGAAAAGAAATGAAGAAAGCTGTGTGTAAAGCTTTCTGGAATAACAGCTGACTGCACTGTCTCACTGGGCAATTTATACTGCCCCCTGGTGCTTAGAAACTATAATGTTGACCAGCCTTGTAGGATGGCTGGTCCAAGAAAGCTGGGGTACCACTGGCCAACATGTTAGCCTGATTTGAATTAGCCACCCCGTCATCCGCTAAACAATGAACCCAGTTTCTGACATGACCTTATTTCAGTTAACGAGGAATGTAATAAATGAGAACTTGAACCCTGACCAAAAATTCTGGAGTGGTTACCTGGGAATAGCAATTGGCCTCATAAGGCACTTACATGCTATGCTGAGGAGTTTCATCTGGCCAATGGAGCAGGATGGAAGACCTATCTTAGCCAAGGGGCTGTCCATGAGCCTTTACTACTAAACAGAATCACCTCAAAAAGTAAAGATAGTCAAGGGAGTCTTCAAATAATTTTACTTGAATATTCAAAACTCAAAAAACACCTACAAAGAACCACATTAAAAAATACTGTACAAGTTCCATTCTTCAGCATAGCCAACAAAAACCAGCAGACATTCAAATTACGAAGGGGACCTACGGTTAAACAAAATAAAGGGTGAAAATGTTGACAGCTAAACCAACACTAGCATGACTCTCTCACATATTTTGGATCTCTGAAAATCCACGGTTTCAGACAACTGCACATTTCAAATCCCAGTTTAGCATTTTTCTGAGAGTAAATGAGTGCCCTGGGACTCAGTCAGAATCACTATCACTTTCTGCTTCCTTCACATCCACACTGAATTTGTATTCCTGGTCACAACCCATGTAGGCATCACTCATAAAGTAGAGTGTGTAATTATGGGCGCCAGTCGCTGGAGCCACAAAATCAAGCTTCACCTAGAGGGAGAAAGGAAGCAAGAATGAAGATGAGCAGTTCTAGGATTTAGAAAACCTAGTCTTGTCCCATCCTGCCCTTCTCCCCACCTCCCCCCAGTCTGCTCCTTACCTACCAGGTAAGGCCCAAACAATTCACTCACCTTGGCCTTCTGTTGCAGTGTCAACCTTTTGATGGAGATGAGGCTATTGGATTTGGAGTCTCCAATCACCACCCACCAGCCCTCCTCACGTTTCTATAAAAGTAAACAAAGTAAGGACCTTAATAAACAAAGATAATTCAGTATTTGCCATTTATTGTAATGGAAAAAAACATGGGGTTTGAATCCTACCTCTTTATACCTATTAACCATAACCAGATGAGTTATTTCATGTCTTTTAAGTCTTAGTTTGTCTATAAAGGGTAGATAATACTTGTACTGCTCACCTTATAAGGCTGTTAAAAGGAAAGCACACAGCTCTTTAAAGTGCTATATAAATGAGGGCTATTGAACATGTCAGAGAAAAGGCAGGAAGCTGCCTGAGCTCTCCCCAATTTCCCTCGAAACAACTTTAAGTCAAGCCTCAAAATGAATTCTGGAGCCTCCTGGTTCAGCACACCAGCTGTGAGGCCTCTAGCACCAGCAGGTGAGCTGCTAGCCCCTAATTCCAGCCCCACCCCCACATACAGTGAGCTACCAGTCCCAGAGGCTCTGGTGCAGCAAGCCAATGACCAGTCACCTGGCTCCCAGGACAAGAAGCTTGGGACAGTGCCTCCTGTATCCCAGAAGCAGAGCTCAACTTTAAAAGTTATGAAATAGGCTAGAAAATGAGCAAAAAGCAAAAGTTCCTGATCACAGAAAGCTACTGTGGTAACAGTGAAGATTAAGACACAAACTAATAAGAGGACAACAATGTCAAAAGGCCTGTATGCAACGCCTCATAAGAGAAATATGAATTGGTCTCAGGCCCAGAAAGTCCTCCTGGAAATGCTCAAAAAAGATTTTAAAAATCAAATAAGAGGCAGAAGAAAAATTGGGAAAAGAAATGAGAGTTTGCAAGAGAATCATGAAGAGTCAACAGCTTGGTAAAGGAAGCGCAAAAAAATGGAAAAATTCACTGAAGAAAATAACTCCCCTTAAAAAGTAGAATTGGCCAAATGGAAGAGAAGGTACAAAAGCTAACTGAAGAAAATAATTCCTTAAAAGTTAGAATCAGGCAAATGGAAGCTAATTAAGAAATATCAAGAATCAATCAAAATCAAAAGAATGGGGGGAAAATGGGAAAAAAAGAAAATGTAAAATTTATACCTCATTGGAAAAACAATTGACCTGATCCGAGATCCAAAAGAAATAATTTAAGAATTATTATACTACCTGAAAGCCATGATTTAAAAAAAAAAAAAGCATGGGCTGCATCTTTCAAGAAATTATCAAAGAAAACTGCCCTCATATCCTAGAACCTGAGGGTAAAATAGTAATTCAAAAGAAACCACCAATCACCTTCTGAAAAAAATCCCCAAATGAAAACTCCCAGGAATACTATAGTCAAATGCCAGAACCCTCAGATAAAGGAGAAAATACTGTAAGCAGCCAGAAATAAACAATTCAAATATCGAGAAGTCACAAGATTGCACAAGATTTAGCAGTTTCTACATTAAAGAATTGGAGGGCTTGGAATATGAAACTCCAGAAGGCAAAGAAGCTTGGATTACAACCAAGAATCAACTACCCAGAAAAACTGAGCATAATCTTTCAGGGGAAAAAGAGTGGAAATTCAATGAAATAGAGGACTTGCAAACATCCCTGATGAAAAGAACAGAGCTGAACAGAAAATATGATTTTCAAATACAAGACTCAAGAGAAGCATAAAAAGGAAAGAAACAACATAAGTTAATAAGGTTAAACTGTTTACATTCCTACATGGAAAGATGATACTTGTAACTCTTAAGAACTGTATCACTGTTAGGGCAGTTAGAAGGAATATACATTAGGAAAACAACTAAGGGTGAGAAAGAAGACTGCACTGGGAGAAGAGGGAAGAGAGGCAGAATGGGATAAATGATATCACACAAAGAGGCATGAAAGACCTATTACAGTGAAGGGAAAGGAGAGTGGGACAATCATTATTTGAACTTTACTCTCATAAGATTTGGCTCAAAGAGGGAACAACATACACACTCAGTTGAGTATAGAAATCAAAATGAGGACTATCATGGTCCTCCACTCAAGTTCTACTCCAGTGACTCAATGGGATAGAGATGACTGGGTTCTCAAAGGTGAAGAAAATGGCACTGCAGCTGAAAATGGCTTTAGATATGGGTCTAATAATGGACTGGATGTGTTGCCTAAAGGCCAGCCTAACTAAGTTCAGAGAGGTTCATCAAGGGTAGTGTGGTTGCCAGGTGAGGTTATTTTGGCCACAAAAACTCATCAAGAGTCTTAGTAAGGTGTGAAAAGGTTGAGATCCAACATATCTTAATAGCCCCCAATCGTCCCTGTATATTACAGCACAGTATAACAACATTTATAATTAACCCAAGTCACTAAGGCAGGAAAGTGTTCAAACTTTTTTTTTTAAACCACTTCCAAACTTTCATCAAAAACCATTAAAATAGTTTCTGAGGCCTACAAGAGAAAACTCCAATACCTAGTGCCTTGCAAAACTTAATGTCTGAACTGAATTTAATTCAGTTATCTAGAAACTCATGAATCCAGAACACTTCAGTTTCTTACACTGTCAGGTAACTGAAGTATTAGTGAAGAAAACAGCAATCATCTAATTTCCATATCCACCAATATTAAATCAGATAAAAGACAACGCTTCCTGATAAGGCAAGCTACCGTGCAGAGCCAGGCTGTCAAATTCAAACAGAAATAGATCCCTGCAGCTGCACAGTGACTTGGAAAACCACACATTAACAGTATCTATGTTGTATTGTATTTTCCTTTTGGAAAACACATCCTGATTACATTTTAATCTGGTTCCAGTGGCACTCTGCAATTGTACAGCCATGCAGTTAACACCTATGGAGAGGACCTTCCCAGAATGAGGTTGGAGGAGAAAAAAGAGGCATTAGTCCTCTGTCTGAAACATTCATTTAGCAGGGGGATGGCTTCTAGAACTCTAGAAAAAGGGCTAGTCTACTCACCAGTCCCACTATACTTTCCATAACTTCCCCCACTCAGAATTTGGTCCTGAAACCAGCTCAGAAATGTGGCTGAAGGAAAGATAAAGAACCAGCCCCAGCCGCAAGAGACAGAATAATGCTTGTAATGGCCCCAAGGGATTTCTAGCACCATAAATCTGTATTTTAAAAATCTGTCTGGGACTCCTGGCAAGAAAATATCTCTGCCAACACAGACTGGTATCTATTCTCTAACTTCCAGTTTTAGAGAAGCTAAGGTTATGTGACTTGCTCAAGGTCAACATAGTATATGTCAAAGGTGAGACCTGAACTCAAATGGACATCCTGGCTTCAAGGACGGCTCTCTAAGCACTATGCAGTTTTACTTCTTAAAGCAACATTACTAAGTCTAAATGTCTTCTTCCTCAATGATATGTTTGGACTCTGGCTAGTAAAAAGGGATTCAAACCTATATGTCAGCAAAACCTGAAAAGCTTACCTGTGGGAAAAGAGGAGCAATGACAGGGCCTGTGACTTCCTCTTCTCGCTCCAGCTGCACCAGCACAACAACTGGCCCACCACTGTACGAAAGAAACAGGACATCACAACCCATGCAGTGGGCTCAGAGCAAACCCAAGGGCTGCCTCCCACCCACCCACGACTGTGTAGTCCTTTTTAGTACTTCTGGGGCCGGAGGCTGGCCCCTCCCAACTCACCTGCGGATGCTCTCTTTTTCCACCACCTCATAAGACAATTCAATATTGGGATAGCGATTACAAAAGCGGGCTACATCAGCAATCTGATTATCTGATAGCTGAAGCAGCGTGTTGCGTTCTTCATCTTCCATCTCCATAATGTCAAAGACACTCTCCACTCCCTGTAAGGGAACAATGGAGGCTCAGAGAGATCCAGGAGAAAAGGAGGAAAATACCAATAAAAAGGAAAACTTGCTGAAGGAACTCATTAATTTCACTAACAGTACCAGGTCTTACTTAACCAGAGGAAACATTGCCCACAGCTGGGAGGTAAGTATGTTACCTCTCCTCATCTAAGATCTTAATGTGTGGCCCCTTCATTGCCAAATGAGGACCAGAGATTTTTTCAGGTTACAGCTGGGCTCCCTCTGACCTTGGATAAAGCTTAAGTCCAGAAAGTTCAGCTAAGATAGCAGGTGCTTCCCTCTTCAGGCATCTCCCTAATGCTCCCAATCTGAGTCTCAGATTACCTTGTCTGTGCATCGTTTGATGTGGTCAGAGGTGAAGTGTGGCAGCTGCTTCAGGTAGGAGTCTTTGGACCACATGGCTTGGGTAACCATCTGAGCCAGTTCCATGGCTGCCAGAGCAGGGCTCAGCCAACCATTGCTAGAGAGGACATCAACACAGGCTTGGATGAGCCGGATTGCCTACAGATGGAGAAACAAGAGCACATTAGGCACAGGAACTATTGCCTTACTTCCCTCCACTATGCACCCCCTCCAATCCCACAGTACCTTACTAAGGATCTCCTCAGTGTCAGATTGCAGTTCAGCACTTAGCTGCATACGGGACAAATGGGCCTGAAGCAACAGGTTGGTCTTAACATGGGGATCATTGAACTTGGGGTTGTTCAGCTTGTGAGGCACTTTCTGAGCCAACTGGTAAGAGGGAAAAAGAAATATTGTGATGCTTAAGTGTCACTGCTCCTCACCCAAAGTAGCCGTGTAGAAACGTTCAGCCTTATGGTTAAGCCCCAAATTTATAACTGAGTAATTTCTACACATAGCATTTTTCTGTGATAGGTTATTGTGGACTTCAGGTGCTCGGTCTGAACACTCTCAGAGTTGTGACTAGTATTCTCTCTATCCTTACCTGCCGTAGCAGGTTGTCTTCATGATGTCGGATGGGGATGTTCTCATACTCTGCTGCATTGGAAATGATCTCGATGAGCCCACGCACCTTGGTCTTAGCATTCAGAGACATACTGAAAAGCTCTGGGGAGAGAAGATGTTGGCAGAAAGTCAAGGACAGCTGGAGAAGGAAACAGAAAAGAAATTCCCAACATCCTGGAACTACAATGATATTTTACATAATTTATCACATTCAAAGGTCTTGGGTAAGGCACCTGTGGCCACCTTTTTTCCTTAGGCAAGGTTCTTCCTGCACGACTTTCCCTCAGATGACTCTAGGTTCCCTTACCAATGGTGGTATAGTTGATGTAGTAGTAAGCAGCAATCATGCCCAAGTTCAGAGGTGCCACATCCATCTCATCCTCAATACTGATACATTTGGACTGCTCCAGGTCACTTAATGTCTGCTCTACCAGTTCCGACAAGTGATCCGACAAGTGACGATGGGAGATACCTATAGATTTAAGAGATCAATTGAAGTCAATGCTGGAGGGATTGTATTGGACAACATTCCACTAACACAGTGCTGGTAGATCTGTGAATAGGTAAGGCCATTCCAGAAAGCAACTGAAAGTATCCAAATAAGATGGCAAAAATGCTTGCATCCATTGAGAAGAAATTCCACTGCTAGGTATATTCCTCAAGGAGGTTATTGATTAAGAAGAATTTAAAAAAAAAAAAGGTTCCACAAACACCAAAATACTTAGAGTAATAATTTTTTTGGCAGTAGCAAAGAACTGGAAACAAATCAGAGACCCATTAACTGGAGAACGGCTAAACAAAATGTAGAACATGAATATTACTCTGCTATAAGAAATGACTACAGAGAAGCATGGAAAGACTTAAAATGAACTGATGCAAAATGAAGTAAGCAGAGACAGAAAAACAATATACACTATGACTACAACAACGTAAATGGAAAATAATAATTATAAAACAATGGAAACTGAATACTACAGGTTAGCTAAGTGGTCAAAGGATATGAATAGACAGTTCTCAAAAGAACTGAAAATTACTGGGGGCAGCTAGGTGGTGCAGTGGATAGAGCACTGGCCCTTAAGTCAGGAGGACCTGAGCTCAAATCTGGCCTCAGACCAAACACTTGACACTTACTAGCTGTGTGACCCTGGGCAAGTCACTTAACCCCAATTGCCTTAAAAAAAAAAAAAAGAAAGAAAATTACTAACAACCACAAATGGAAAGAATGCTCCAAATCACTAAAAAGAGAAATGTTAATCAAAACAATCTTGAGGTTTCACCTCATACCTTGCAAAATGGCAGCGATGACAAAAGATGGGAATAATCAATGTAAAAGGAGTTGTGGGAAGACAGGCATACTGGTGCATTGTTGGCAGAGTTATGAATCACTATAACCATTTGGGAAACAATTTGGGATTACATATAAAAAATGATCAAAATATCCATACCCTTTGACCCAGAGATTCCACTACCAGGTTTATACTCCGAGGAGGTCATTGATAAGAAGAAAGCCTCCATATAAACCAAAATATTTACAACAACACTTTTTGTGATAACAAAGAAACAGAGACAAAGTATATGCCCATTGATTGGGGAATGGTTAAACAAATTGTGGTCCATGATTGTAATGGAATATTACTGTGCTATAAAAGAAATGAAGAATTTTTTTTCAGAAGTGATGAATACAGAGAAACATGGAAAGATCTACCTGAACTGATGCAGAGTGAAATAAGGGCCAAGAAAACAATATACATGCCTACAATGTTAACAGAAAGAACAAATACACATACACAAATCAAAAGTAAATGTGGCACAATTTTAAAGAACAAGTGTGGCTCAAAGAGATACAAAAAGACACACCAACATCTCTACAGAAGTGGGAAGTCCACAAGTGTTGATCACTTCATTTTCAAACTTTTTTTTTTTGATATACTGATCACTTACACTGATTTTCCTCTTCTTTACCTTTTATTTTCCTTTAAAAACAGTTTTTGTGATCTGGGATGGCTCTCTGAGAGGGGAAACAAGAGGGATACTGGGGGAAATTTGGTGAAGTAAGAAGAACAAAAGATATCAATAACAACTTATTTAAAATGACTATTACAAAATTATAAAGAACAAGGCTGGCTCTAAAGAAGAGGTATGATAAAGATACTCCTCCCCTCTTTGCAGAAATTGCTGGGGGGTGGGATGAGAATGATAAAACAGGTATGGAATATTGCATATGATGTCAGATTTCCCCAATGTACTGATCAGTTTTGTTGAATTTCTTTTTCAATTTTAAAATTCTGTTATATAGGATGGTTTTCACGGGGGTGGGGAGAGTATGATTATCAGGGGAAATTCAGGTAATGTAAAAACAAAAGATAAATCAATTAAAAAAAAATGTGTAGAAAGGGCTAAGAAGCTAGACACCCAGAGCTAATGCTAGAAATATCACAGTGAAGATGGCTTCAAAACATTGAGCTCACCCTGCAGATTGTAGTAGTTGGGGTTCTGGGTCATGCGCCGGTACAGGAATGTCCAGGTCAGGTAATCTACTGCATCTTGCTTGTTCTCAATGGTCTTGGTGACGATCTCAGCATTGAAGTGGTCATGCATGCAGTGGTCCAGATGAGACTCCACTGGCAGTGGCTCATAGAGAAATTTCTTAAAGAAGTCCTATGAGGAAAGGAAACAGTAGAATGAAAAATAAGAACCCTACTAGGTTGATCAGTAAGGCATAGACTCTGCTTGTCAGACAGTGATAAGACACCAAAAGAAGCTAAAGTTGCAAGTAGCAATCACTGACTCAACCATCTCCTTCTTAAGGAAGGAGAAGGCAGCAGCACTGAAGACACTGAGAAACAGATGATGAGGCACAGAACCAGCCAGAACCAGCTAGAGGTAGGAGTTAAATGTGAGGGAGCACTGAACAGCAGCAGAAAACATGACAGGCAAGAATCCAACATCTTGATGTGATTTCATGGAACTGAACTCAAAGGAGTTTGGAGAGTAGACAACACCGGAGATATCTGGGTTGTAAGTGAAGCCATCATCCAGACGAGAACAAACAACGTGACTGGGTACTCTGAGGCCTAACTCTCCAGAGTTCTTCATATTCCCAGGACTTACTTTTTTGGAGCCCTGACACATGATGACACATCGTCCTTCATCATCCTGTAGAGGTCGATTGGCATGACCCACCATTTGTAGCACATCATAGATGGGATAATCCACATAACTAACAGGATAGAAGGCAAGAAGGGAAATAAGACAGTGTATAAAATAGAGAGACAATGTGAAAAAGAAAAATCCTGATCATTCTCCCTTGAATGCCAAGTCGGGTTTAAAATGTTCCCATAATAGGGTGAAAGTCACAGGTAAAAACTACTATTATCTATGAGTTTTACATTTACAGTTTCTTTTTTATGCATGTAATTTATGTTAGCAATTTTGAACTTAAGGATAAAATGTTTAAGGGTAAATCTCACATTTTCATGGCTTAGGGCCCCAAGGGAGTTCAGCAAAAACGGCAAAAAGTACCCCAAACCAAAAACTACAAAACTCCCTTTAAAGGACTCCACAATCAGTATGGAACCTTTGGACAGCAATTTCTAGGGACTCACTAGACCCTATCCTAGGACCCTTTATCCCTTGATCCTTTTCCATTCCCAACAACCTCAAAACCCTGGAGTAATTAATCCCCATCATCCATTTCCTCCATTTCTGTTCCTGGGCTGCTACAGAACTTTGGAACAAGTTACAAAACTATACCATTTAATCCACTTTATATGCAAATGAAAATGCCCTTAGTATGGGTTCAGCAATCTCATTACCTCCCTATCTCACTCCTTACAATAACTGTCTTGAATCCTTTCTCTTCAGAGTCTCACCCCTCACTCCCAAAGCAAGTAACCAAGTCTCCCATTTGACTCATAAGATAGAAGCTATCTAAAGAGAGCCTGCTCATCTTCCAACATCCACAAAAAAATTCTCAGGATCTTTGCCTGTCCTCTCCTCTCGTCTCAAAAGATAAGGTATTCTTTAACTCCTTGCTGAAGCTAATCCTTTTTCTACCCCATGCTCTTAAATCCTATCCCCTTCTTGACTCCTCTGGGACACTGCTTAAACCATCATCCCTTTTTCTGTCTTGTACCATTGTCAGCTGAACTGAAAAGTGATCCATTTTCATTCTCTCTTTTCCCTAGGTCCATATTAATCTACAAATGTGTTCAGATTTTCCCAATACTAAAAAAAAAAACTGTTTCCTCACATTTTCTGTCCTATTTTTCCTCTTTCTCTTTTTTTAAAAAAAGGTTTATATATTATTTCTACATCCTCAGTATTTCTTTATGTCTTGATCTCTTGTAATCTTGTCTACAATTTCTCAAAATGCAGCAGAGCAGTGACTATCATCACAAAAGTGACCTTTAGGGTAAACAAAGACAGAGACAATTATCACTGTAACTTGACTAAAATGAGTACTAACTGGGCTGCATTTTCACTTCATTAATTATATTTCTTCCATGATATTTATGTATCCATAGCTACTGATTTTGTATTCTCTTTGCTTTGCAGGGAGGTAAAGCCCATGTGTAGAGAAGTACTGTACTAACGCATGGATCTTGCCATTATAGTACTGCGTGTCCATGATGATCACCAGATGGGCAGCCACATTCATACCCCAGCACAGGCTTCGGGAGGCCACAACCACCTGGATGGCACCTGAGGAGCAGAGGGTAGTAGAGATGAGTCCAAGGATTCCCTTGAGGAAGGACCTGTGGCTTCCACACTACGTTATGACATTTAGGATCTAGAGACACCAAGGCAGATCTGCCACATATTACTCTTTGACAAACAGACCACTGCTTCAGGGCAATGTGCCCAGCACCACAGATACTTAATTCAAAGGCACCCTTGCTCTAGTTTGGTGGGGGGAAGAGGGAAAGAAAGGAGGAAATCTCATAACTTAATAATGGAGGCCAGCGATACACTCTAAAGACAAGAAAAAGGAAGCATTAACAGGCTGCTTCCTAAAAGGCTGCAAGGCCTGTTGTGAAGAATAACAAGCGCTATAGATGGAGAAACAATAAGAAAAGCAAATGTTAAAACCAAAGCCAGCAATGAAGTGCCAAGTGAACAAAGACAAGGTTAAGGGGAGGCTGATAAAGTCCAAGATGGTTCCTGTGGTGATTTCTTTCTGTTCCGTACCTGAACTGAAGAGCTGCTCCACCAGGCGCCGCTCTGCAGGGCTAAGCCCCTCATGCAGGTAGCCCACGCCATTCAGTAGTGTCTCCTTGAGGGTGCTGTCACTCAGCTTCTCCAGGTATGGGATTAGATCCTTCTCTGTGCAATGCAAAAATCTGCCCATAGGAGCAATGGGAGGAAAGCACAGGATATCTCAGGCATGAAGCCTCACATTCTCTGCCTCTGGTGGTGGGTGGGTCAGTATACTTGTCTTGCCCAGCACCATGAAAGGAATGCAAGGAATGCCTACACCTCTACAAGGACCTACCTAGAGACAAAGAACTTTCCAGGGAATTTGGGAGTTCTATAGAACTTGACACCATTGTACCAAGATGGGAATGCAGAGCTGGCCCCAAGCAAGGTAGCAGAAGCAGCCTCTGCCCACAAGAGCTCTGCTACCTAAGAAGCGTACCTCTGTCGCTGAATGTCTGCTGCACAGGTGGTGAGGATGTCAATGGCAGTCAGGCGAGTCTGCTTGCGTGATGGGACAAAAACAATGACAGGCTTCTTGGGCGAATGCTTTGTAATGGCGTGATATACTGGCTTAGCCATAGATAGTAGGCGAGTCTGTGTGTGGCTAATGTTGAAGCCCTAAGAACCAAAAGGAAAAGGGAAAAGATGGACGTCATAAAGTCTGCTGCTCCCTAGATATGTAAGGGCAGGTGGGAATGATGGGAGTAGCTCTCACCTGAATATGCAGTTCCAAGGGGACAGGACGTACATTGGGGTGAAAATTAAAGGTGGAAGTGGCACTACAGCCTAACCAATGGGCAACATCCTTAGCATTAGAAAGGGAGGAACTAAGTGCCACAATGCGAATGGGTCGCTCTATCTGGGAGGAGATATAGCGCATACGAGAGCAGATCACTTCAAGTACAGGCTGTAAGAGAAATAAGGGAATGAATTCAGGAAAGGGCTATCAACTTACTACCCCAGTCAATCCTCTAGAAACCCATCTTTTCATTTCCAACAGCTTCAAATCCATCCATAATGAAAAAAAGCAATGGACCTGAGAGTCACAAAGACCTAGATTTGAGTTCTGCCTCCATCATTTACTAGCTACACAATCTGGAGCAAATTATAACCCAAGCCTCAGTTAACCATCTGCAAAAGAAGTCTACCAATAAATAAATGATGCTAATCACAGGTTTGAATGAGTATGTATAATGTTTTATATATTCACAAAGCTCGTAAGTAAATATATGCTACAATTACTATTAATCCTTTCTTCAAAGCTAAGGATCTCGTTTCTTCCACTATTTATCCCCCAAAGCAGTCATTCTTCACTAGAAAATGTTCCAGGTCATACTCCATGACCTCTACAAAAAGCATTTAGGTCCTCTCCTCTCCAATGAATTTTTAAGAAGGCAAATGGCAAATACCATTCTCTTAAGTGAGAACCATCAGATGAGGAAACTGTCCCTATGCCTGTGTGGGCATCCCAAAACCACAATGTCCTAGTGAGATGTACTAGCCCCCCAATTTTGTTAACAGACCATGTACATACCCCATTCTCACCCCCAATGAGGTGGACCTCATCCACCACAAAGAGGTTGACATTCTGGACATTCTTGCGCTGCTTCCAGCGGCGGGAGAGGATGTCCCACTTCTCAGGAGTGCTGATAATGATATTGCCTTTGCCCAAAAGCTTCAGGTCTGTGCTGGTCTCTCCTGTCAGTAGTACTACCTTCTTGTTGAGCCGCTCCTGGAACTTCTCATACCAATCCATGTACACCTGATGGGGGAAGGGCAGAAGAAATAAGCCTCTTCAAGCCATCACTTCAATCATTCTGAGAGAAAGTTCAGGAGACAAACAGGTCATAAGATTACCTTTTTAGCTACAGGTGTCTAAGTACTTTACAAACCTTCACCAATTCACTGAAGAATCCCTTCTCCCACAGTGCACAAATAAAGAAAATGAAACATAAAAGGGGGAAACTATCAGCTGAAGGTTTCAGAAGCAGGGGAACCTTTATATGGATTAACAAGGGAAAAACCACAGAACAGAAAGATTGGATCTGAAGTCTGAAGATCTGGTTTCAAACCCAGCCTAAGCATCTATCCAAAATGAGGCTCAGGGGCAGGTCTCCAGGGTCCTTCTCTGAACCTATGAATAGCTTCTGGGGAGGGTATGACTAGAGAAAGGCTACCAATACTTTTACCTGTTCTGCTAGAGCCTCCATGGGAGTGATATAGACACAGCGACCTTCAGAGTTCTGCAAGAGCATCCTTAAAATGGCAAATTCAGCACAGATGGTCTTCCCGCTGCCCGTGGGGGCCCCCACAAATACGTTGTCATCACTATTGTACACCGTATTAAACACTACAAGCCAAAAGAATGGCAATGTCAAGGCCAAGAGAGGAGAAGGGAGGACCAGGCAGACTACTGGCCACAAAAGTTGTATAAAAATAATGCCCTTGTAAGACAAGTTGTAGTTATTTCATTACTAGTACAATAGCACTTGTTTCATTCATTCAACAAGAAGTTACTAAGTTCTCACCACACACACAAAACTAGGGGAAGCAAACTGCCAATACTGATAGGCTAGAAATCTCAGTTGTCAGGTGGCATACTAAACTAAAAATAATCAACTCATTTTACTTCATTCCACTTTTTTCTCATCTTTTGTCCCTCTCAAGGCAGGTAGGGGATAGAGCGCATACAGTGCTGGACTCAGGAAAACCTGAATTTGAATTATGCCTCAGACACTGTGTTACACTGGGCAAGTCATATGCCCTCTTTTTGGTTTTTACTCTACCATCTTGGCTCCGCCCCCCTCATGCCTTCTTTTTGGTACCTCAGTTTCCTCATCTGTAAAATGAGAATAATAATAATAGCAACTACTTCACAGGGTTGGTGTGAGGATCAAATGAGAAAACATACGTAAAGTGCTTTGCAAACCTTAAAGAGCCATATAAATGCTAGTTATTTTCTTTTTTGCAGCTGTTAATGAAGAAGAGAAGAAGTCAGGTAACCAGAGACACAGTGGATGAGAATGAGAAATAGCTCAAGATCCAAGGAGAGTTTCTGCCATTTTAACAATAAATCCCAAAGCAAGTAAAAAAACCCAAACCATTTTCTATCCTGCTTTTCTGACACTGCCTTTATCCCAAAGATCACTTACTAAAAAGGGGACAGTTGCTAAAAGTTGTATCCCTAACTCTGGTCATCAGAAATATTTCTAAGTACCTAGGCCATTATAATAGTTCTAGGGACCACTGGATAGGGAGGTTAGGAACCTTAAGTCACCCTACAAGATTAACCATTCAAGCACCCTGGGTATGTGGTTAAGCAATAAATTTGATGAATATTACATGTCTTTGGCATTAGCTATGAGAACCAAAGAAATAACAAAGCACTTGAAGAAAAGCTGGATCCACTGTAATAAATCCCAGAAAGCAGCAAAAGTTTGAAGGTTCTTCCAGTTACTGAGACGGCAAAGCTTTTGGAACTCTTAAATTCTGATGCTGGATTCAAGTGTTACTATGAAAGAAAATTTACTGGGTCTTCCCAACAGCTAGCTTTCATGAAAAACAAGTCTCAAGAGAAATGTGCCTTCTTTGGCAAAAATAGGTTTATTTCTGAATTAATCTCAAGACAAGGTTCAAATAAGGAGGTATTATCTGGTGATTTGATACCCACCTTGAGTCTGGATGGGATTGAAGAACGGGAATTTGTCCTGGTAGAGACTCTCAAAGGCACTGTTCCTCAGGGCAGACACGGGCAATGGCTGTAAGTCTAAAAGTTCTGTGGGAGGTGGGTACTTCTCAGGTAAGATTAAGTGACGGAAGGAGACAGGCAACTGGGTCTCACAAGCTACCATATAAGAAATCAGGAGTTAGAATTCCTATCAATCTCCACTACATACCCTTTAAAAGCCAGTAGTTAGCAGAGGAAACTCCAGGTTTGTAGTTCTGCACTATCACAATATATAATACCACATCCTCCCCAGAACATTTAAAAAAAAAAAAAAAGAAGATACTGTGAAATCAGTAGGCAAAGGGGACATATTCTTGTCGAAGGAGCCGGCTTTCAGGAGAAGGCAGTACTCACATAGCCAGCGGTCTGACACCACACGAATAAAGTACTGTGGAGGAAGTGGCTCAAACACAGGAACAAAGAACGTAATGAGATGCTCATCCTGTGCATACTTGGCCTTGAGCAGGAAATACTCATGGTGCAGGATCACTTCACTGTCGACATCTTCTACCAGAATCCAGAATGCCTCAGATGAACCATGAACCTTCCAACAGAGGGGCACAGGGTCAGCAGAGGACAATGCCCTACACTCACTGGCTGGTATCCCATCCAGTAACCGCTCCAGGAAACTGTATCTCCCTTTAGATTGTGAGCTCCTTGAGAGCAGATTCTGCCTTGACCATCCTTTGTATCTTCATTGCTTAACATAGAGTAGAACTTAATAAATGCTTGCTGACTTGACCTGAAACTCTGCCATATGCCCTGCCCTGCCATTGCTTACACACACACACACACACACACACACACACACACACACACACACACCCCCTCTTTTTTCTAGCCTCATGCACCAAGTACACCAATGAAATCAATAGTAACACTACTACTGGAAAGAGCATGGCAACTCACTGCCCTATGGCTTCATTCATAAACCCTTTGACTCTCCAGATCAAAACTTGGTTCCCTAGTCCACACCTTCCTTCTCCAATGTGTTTTCTCCTCTTGTAGAACGTAAGCTCTAATCACAAGGGCAGGGACTGACTCACTCTTGTAGCTACAGAAGGCACCCCAAAAGCCCTAGTGCAGATCTAAGCTTTTAGTAGCTGCACTACAACTTTTGGTACACCCTGTATTTTTAGAGCCTAGCAAAGTGACTGGCACACAGTAGGTACTTAACAAATGTTTCTGTATTCATTCAATCTCCTCATAATCACTCTGAGAACAACCAGTCATAACAAAGTAAAACCTCACCTTTTCATCCCACTGGAAATCAGGGGTTATAGTCAGCTCTACTTTCAGGGTAGAACGAGTAATGGGCTGCAAATGCACGGAGAGTTCCAATTTGGGGAACAGGTGGACATATTTGTGAATGGTCTTCCCCATCTTGGGCATGCGGATAAGCTCACCTATGAAAAGACCCAAGAAGTGGCTCAGTGGTTGAAGGCCCAGTCAACCTGATGCACTACATAAGTAGGGACCAAAGAACTACTATAGATTATCAATAGCTTATGTGTTGGTTGGCTGGGTTCTTTTGATCACAATGCAAATTTGCACTTCAATCACTTAAAAGCTCAAAGACAAAGCCCTAGTAGTCAGGTGAGAGGTAAGTGATAAGGGACAGAATTAGGTCAGAGCATAAGAAAAGAGGTCTGAGTTAGGATGGGCTTAGACATAAGAATGTAGTTTTCATTTCAACTCATATTTATTGCCAACATGGCAAAAAAGACCAGAATTCCACAAACCTATCTCATTGTGATTCAGGTCATACAGCCGCTCGAAGGGGAAGTTTTTCTTCTCAATCTTCTTTACCACCTCCTCAGGGAGCTTCCGGAACTGGCGCAGGGGACACATGGACTGCCACCTAACCAGGAAGGAAATGAAAGCCATTGGGTCACATTCCCAAAAGACAAGGCAAGATTATAGAAGACACATACAGAAACTAACAAAAAGAAAATCTAAGCTCCGCCAAATACACTTGCTACCCAACAGTTAATCCTAATTCCACAAGCTCCAATAAACCCAGAGAAGCCAAAGATGATATAAACTGTTGCTTCATATCCACTCCAACCAACAGATATCAGATTTATAGACTGAAATCACAGCTGGTACCCTCAGACTCTTTACTGCAACCCACGATGATTAACTTTCCAGCCTACTAGCTCCTTACATGCGTTTGTCAATCATCTTGCACAGATTCAGAGTCTTGTCAGTCAGCTGTGCCCAACCTCGATTTAAGACGATTTCAAAGATGGCACGCATTAACCGACCAGCCGACTAGGAAAAGAAAATTATGGTTAGCTCTTACTAGTGCCAGACCTGTTTGGCAGGCTTATGTGGGGATGAGCTCATCCTCTGATCCAACCACCCTTATCTGCTCACAAAAAAATCTCACTTCTCTCCTCTTCCTGTGCTAGAACATAGTTCTTATTCCTTTTCTATGCTTACTGAGGTGCTACTGAGGAAAAACAGATCTCTGTGATGGTTGATCTCTAAAAATCTTAAGTAACTTAATTCAAGGTTCACTGTTCAATATAGCAAAGATGTCTCTTGCCAGCAGCCTGAGGCTACCAAGTGACTTTAACAGATGGGAACAATAAAACTGGAGAGGCTTTTTGTCATCCCTTGGTTATTAATAAATGCTGTGACACTAGCAAGAAGGAACTGCCCTCAAGAGGCATAGCTATATGACTTACTTCCCCGCCTTTCCCCACCACTACCATCTTGTCCAGCAGCCTCACCCTTTCATGATGCTCATGGTCAACAAAGCATAAGAAATTAGGCCCTCACAGCAACAATGAACCACAACCAGTTCTGACAAGCTCCACCCCCACCCCACCCACAGACATAGGAGATTAGGATATTATAAACTACTTGACTCTGTTACAACCAAATTACAACTCTGAACTCACCTGTGTAACATATACCATGTCTGCCATCAGTGCAAAACCCTCAAGCTTTAGCTGTGAAATAAAGGCCTGGAGAAGCACATTGATCTATAAAAGGGAAAAGGAGAGGAAAGCAGTATAGCCCATGTGGTCTGATGTATAGTATCAAGTGAATTACATTCCTACTCTAGGCATCCTTCCCAATACGCGACAGTAGTTACTCTGTACAAAAGGGACAGGTAGAAGGCATTAGGTTAGAGTTCAGCAGGTTACCAAAACAGTTATCCTAAATCTTAACATTTCTTTTAGGAGCTATGAAAACCATGTGATCTTCATCCCTGTGCAAGTGCCTTAGTTTAAGTGTTAAGAGGCTTACCTTTGCACTGGGTTCCTCAATGCTCTCCTTCACAGGAATAGGAACCCTCTCTAGTAATTTCTGAAGCTCTAGCTTCTCTTCCTGTTATAGGTCAGAAAATAAATCAGAAAGAAAACTAATGTTCACAGAAAGCAATCTTCTAGGTCCCAATGCACAGAGTACCAAATCCCAATCATTTTCAGACTGACTTCTACAGACTCACCTCTCTCACTGTGATGTTTTTGAATTCTGAAGAGAGTGAGAACACTCTAAAGAGCTCAATTTCACTCAGAGTTGGTTTCAACAGCTGGTTATAGGTCTGCACCGTATCATTGGTTATATAATAGTGACTGGCAATACGGCCAAGCTCTGTCACCTGTGAGTAGGAAAGTTCGATTTAAGGTTGGTGAATTGTTCAAATCCCTTTTTGTGGCAGGTTCATTTGCAGAAAGGGCCACAGGCACAGACAGTGAGTTCACCAGTGTGATTGAGCTAGCTCAATCAAGTGGACACATTTCTAGTGGCCACAGTGAAAAGATAGACAAGCTTTCCATATCAACTCAACCAATATAAAAGGAAAGATTTTTCAGGAGTCATCACAATGAGATCAGGAGGTTCTAAGTTCAATGAATCAACCATCCTATTGAAATGCTCTTCTGTACTTTACCATACCTTCTATGTTTTTGGGTAGGAACTGGGTACAAGTTAAAGTCCATGTTGAATAAAGTAAAATTTCCCAGGGTCTGGGACCTCTCCCCAGGCTATGAGGCCTAAGAATCATCCTACTCACTTGGAAGTTGCCAGTCTTCTTATCATATTTGACCAAATTGTTCTTGTCCAACATGAGAGCTGCAGTGTGCACCAAATCTAGCCGGCGCTGATCCAGCAGGGGATCCCCCTTAAGGTCATCATGTGAAATGCCATAGAGGGTTGGGGAACGAAGCATTCGAATATATAAGTAGGCATAACCCAGCCAATTTACTGCATCCTGCAAAAAGAAGAGCACTGATCTTAGGAAGAGAAGTAGTTGTCAATCCCCAAGATCTTGGTAGCCTCAAAATCTTCTAAGTGAGAATTTACAAAAAAAGAAAGAGGTATTAAGGAGAAAGCATCACTGAATACTGAGTGATCAGTAGGATCAAGATTAAAGGTGCTAGCTTATTCTTCTGAGTACTTTATTTTGAGTTCCAGATAGATACAAGAAAGTAATATCCAGGGGGCAGCTAGGTGGCACAGTGGATAGAGCACCGCCCTGAAGTCAGGAGGACCTGAGTTCAAATCCAGCCTCAGATGAAACAGTTGACACTTACTAGCTGTGTGACCCTGGGCAAGTCACTTAACCCCTATTGCCTAAAAGACAAACAAATAAACAAACCAAGAAAAAAAAAAAAAAAAAGAAGAAGAAGAAGAAGAAGAAGAAGAAGAAAGAAAGTAACATCCAGTGGCCAGAGCAACTCCTACCTTTGCATTCTGGACATTCCCCAAGACGATCTCAGCATTGAGCATGTCAGGCAGCTTTGATACCATCTGGCTCTCAATAGGTAGCTGCTGATTGAGTAGGGACAAATAGTACTGCAGCTCCCCATGAGATGTAATGAGGATGCCTTCCCCTTTTGTATCATACTGTGGTCGCCCAGCACGACCCAGCATCTAGATCAATCAGAAAAAGAAATTGAGTTGAGGATGGAAGAAAGCTTTTTTGTTTGGCTTAAGGGTTTCAAAACTCTGGGCTAAATTTTACTATCCTGGCAATCTCCTAGTACCCTTGCACAAAGTACTTTTTTCTAACAGAAATACTCCTAAGTTAAAGGCCCAGTACCTGCAGAATGTCCAATGCTCCCAATTCCGTCCATCGCCCCTTTTCTGGGCTATACACCTGTGTGCCTTTAATGATGACTGTATGCGCAGGGAGGTTTACACCCCAAGCCAAAGTTGCCGTAGAGACGAGAACCTATATGGGCAAGACAAGGTTTTAAAGATAACCAAAGGCTGTCTTGTTAGTTACAGGCAGCAACACCAAAATAAGCAGTTCTAACTTCTCTAGATATCTGGGAACTGTCCCTAGGAAAAGGATGATCACCTTTTCTGGTATCTCACATGCCTGGCAATGTCCAGGTAATAGATGGCTTCTGGAACCACAACAATCAGGTCTCTAGTTAAAATGAGGTTGTGAGATACCTTAAAAAAGTAACTCTACCCTATGCCCCCCCCCCAAAAAGGACAGGGCCTTACAAAGGAATTGGCTGGGTCACCACTGAGGTATGTATGTCAGCCATATTTTCCCTCACCTGAATGTGTTTGTCAGCAAAAAGATCTTCCACAAGTGTTCGGTCAACTCTGGTCATACCAGCATGATGAATGGCAAAGCCATAAGGTAAGAGGTCCTTCAATTCCAAATTCTGTAGCACAATAAAGACACTTAGTAAGTGAGCCCCATCTTCTTTTCCTGGTTTGATTTGAAATCATAACCCTTCCATGTCACCAAACTCTCTCTGCAACCTGCAAACACACACTGCAACACAGATGAAGTTAAAGTTTACTACTGAGTTTTCAAGATCCCATCTACATAGTAACTCCACATTTGGAAAGAACAATACCCAGGGCAAGATCCCAAGCATAAGTGAGGCAGGGTCATCACTTCAACAATTTCTTAGGGTACAACATGGAATAGCTGCTGATACTGCTGACTTGCTTGTTTGAAGCCAGGCTCTGGCCCAGCAGGTACAGGCCATGAGTGGAGCCTGTCTTTTCCTTCTCACCTTGCACTGCTCAGCTTCTGTCCGAAGAACCTCAGTGGAGGCAGAGCCCTCTCGAAGGAACAAGCCAAGTGTATCCTTCTCTAGACACATATCCCGAATGGCCCTGGCTGTCTTTCCTGTCTCCTTTCTAGAGTGGACAAATACTAGCACCTGTAAGGAAATTATATAATGTCAATCTTAAGAGGTGCAATGCCAAGAGCCACCTTTACCACCTCAAGAAAACTTAGTGAGAAGCACAGCAAGCACAGAGTATCTGATACTGTAAAAGGACAAGAAGTCAAGGCTTTCTGAGAAGGACGAGCTAAGGAAAAGCAACAATCTTGGCTGTCTGAGAACAATTAGTGTCTGAAGCCTGATTTGAACTCAGGTCTTCCTGACTCCAGGCTTAGCATTCTATTCACTGTGTCTCAGCTGCCTTTTAATACCCTGGCATCGTCCCAGATGAATTCAGTTGGAATTCATCTGCCCCTAGAATGCGGCAGGGTCAGAAATCTAGGATTTAGGAAGATTAAATGCATCTCAGTCCTCTACAATTATTAACAGGTCTGCAGAAAACCCAAAGGACTCAAGTTGCTTAAAGACACCTGAAATCAAACTAAGGAACATGCAACTGACCTGGTTTTTCCCAGCATGCTCCATGATCTTCTCATAAACTATTTCATTCATGATCTGGAAACGTTTGATTGCCTTCTTCTCTGTGATCCCCACATATGTCTGTTCAAGAGGCACTGGACGGAAGCTTAAAAACAACAGTAGACAGTTTTTCAGATAAAGGTCTTATATCTCAAATACATAAAGGACTTCGTCAAATTTATAAGACTATGAGTCATTCCTCAATTGATAAATGGTCAAAGAATAAAAATAGGTAGTTTTTCTATGAAGAAATCAAAACTATAGTCATGTGAAAAAAGGCCCTAAACTATTAATTAGAGAAATGGAAATTAAAACAACTTTGAGATATCTTCTCACACCTAACAGATTGGCTAAAAGATAGGACAGGAAAAAGACAAATGTTGGAGAGGATGTGGAAAAATTTGATCGCTGAAACACTGTTGGTGGAACTGTGAACTGATCCAAACGTTTTGGGGAGCAATCTGGAATTATGGCCCAAGAGTTTTATAAAACTGTGTATATACCCTCTGACCCAGCAATATCACTAATAAGTTTGTTTCCCAAGGTGATCAGGTAAAAAGGAAAAGAACCTATGTGTTCTAAAATATTTATAGCAGCTCTCTTTGTGGTGGCAAAGAACTGAAAATTGAGGGGATGCCCATCAATTGGGAAAGGGCTAAACAAGTTGTGGTATATGATCATGATGGAATATTACTGTGTTTTGAAAAATGATGAATTGGTTGATTTTAGAAAAACATGGAAAGACCTGCATGAAATAATGAAAAGTGAAATGAACAGAACCAAGAGAATGTTGTATGCAGTAACAGCAATACTGTTCAAAGAACAACTGTGAATGACTAAGTTACTATGAGTATTATAAATACTCAAATCAACTTCAAAGGAACCATATGAAGGAAGATGCTATCCATCTCCACAGAAAGAACTGATAAGTAAAAATATGCATAGTATGGTGTTATACATACATATACATACACACACCCATCTGTGTCAGATGGTGGCCTTCTCTAGTGCAAGGTGGGAGGGAGACAGAAACTTAAAATGTAACCAAAAAAAAAACAAAAAACAATAGTCATAAGTGTTGTGTTTTTTGGGAGAGTGGGGAGGAGGGAAAGTGAAATCTTTTCCCTCATTCTCAGAAAACAAATGTTAAACTCTGTTTCCCAAAATGCCTTCCATATTTACTCCACAACTCCCCTCAAAGCTTCTCCTCCTTGACCCAATCCAAGGGATCTCCAGTCCAAATATTTAACTGTATGGGAAATAGTAGAGGGAAAAATCTTGGCCAACAGCTTCAAGGTCTTCTCCCAATCCATACCTGTTGTCAAAGTAAAAAAGGCCCTTGGCAGGGTCTACACGAAGGAATGTAGCAACATCCTCATAGTTTGGGAGGGTAGCACTGAGCCCGATGAGCCGAACACGTTCTTGGGTCATCTCAATGTTTCGGATAGCTCTGGCTACCAAAGCTTCCAGGACAGGACCTCTGTCATCATGGAGAAGATGAATTTCATCCTAGAGATGAGATGAAAACCAGAGTAACCTCATTACAAGAGAAATAATCCCTTGGACTAAATTTTTTCCTTTTAATAAACATACTATATCTACCAACTAATTGTTTATAAAGCCTGTATTAAGGAGAAAGGAGGTATCTTACTCAATCTCTCACTAAAGGGCACAGGCATCAATCCTGTATTATCAGAGGGAATCCTGCACTTTCGAGGGGAAAAATGTACACAGTACATGGCACAATAGTCTTGCATGTAACCTGTACTTCACATACATATGTTGAACCAAAGAGAACAAAAAAAAGTCAGAAGAGGCACGGATAAAACTACCATTTATTTATAAGAAAGAAAACTTCCCAACAGGAAAGATAACATCCTTGGCAAAAGATTTCTTAATTTATTTAAAAGGTAAATTTCTTAACTGCTTATCAAGCAATTTTATGCCAAACTTTACTTTGTTTCTCCAAATGTTTCCACTCCTGGAGTTAGTATTTTTGAAGATAAATATGCTCATTCATCAGCAGCAAAAGGTTTACATGATCTAGAGGACGACTTGAAGGGGAAGCTACAAAAAAAGCAGTTTTAGGCCTGATGTCCAGAAAACTCCCTAACAGTTTTCTAAGAGTGAAACACCTATAGTTTTCTCTACCATAAAGCTCTCCAAGCAAAAGCTGGTGGCCACTTCCTCTCAAGAGAAGCTGAGGAGATTCTGATTCAGGGATGGACTAGGCAAAGGATTCTCTTCCAATTCAGACACCCTCATTCTGAGTTCCTTTCCTGATTCTCCCTGTCATTTTCTGAGGTATCCTGAACTAGAACATCTGTAAAACTACTTTTAGCTCAAGATTTTCTATCAGCCTCAGTCTCATACTGATAGCATTAAGAGCATAAAGCTTGTATCAGCTACAGTATTAGACTCACCTTATTTTCTCTGACTAAAGATTGTTTCTTGTTCCTTCAAAACTAGTAAATGTAGGCCAGGTAAACCCAGAAGGGGCTCTCTACTCACCAAGATGATGAGGCGTACTAGCTGGGTATAGGTACGTTCCCCACCCTTTCGGGTAATGATGTCCCACTTTTCAGGGGTGCAGACAATGATTTGAGTGGCATTGATTTCTTCCTTGCACAGTTGATGATCACCTGTCAGCTCAGCCACATTAATACCGTATGTTGCAAGGCGCTGAAGAAATAAGAATCAAGAGGAATCTCAGAGAGGAAAGTTTAGAGATGATCTATATTATATACGTCACAACCCACAGCAAATCTTGTTTTGGGATATAGACAGCTCAATTAATCCACTGACTAAGCTGTCAGCCAAAACAGATTACCTCTGAATTTCTGGCCCAGACCTGTATAAGTACTCCTCGTGTGAAAATTCCCTTCACCAATACAGATCAGCAATTCAAGGTTAAGTGAGTTGTCCATGGTCACACAGCTAGGGCGAGAACTCAGTTTTCCTAACCCTATTCACACACTCACACCGTTAAATCTATATATATGGAAAATTAAAGCTAAGGTAGGACCTTTGGAAGCACTATACATCTCAATGAAAAGAAGAAAAAAAACTTAGGTAAGCTTAGGTAACATTTATCCAATTGCTATGTGATATGAGCATTTAACAAATATTATGGGGATGAAAATAAATCAATTAGTAAAGAAAAAAATGACTGAGAATGAGAAAGTGGGAAAAACCTTGGCAAAAGACAATCACAAAGCAATTTTCACTGTTGATACCCAAAAATTTCCAAGAAAGGATCCATATCACAGAACACCAAGTTTGTGACGCAGTTGTAAAACCACAAACAAGAGTCTAAATGCTCAAAACTAATTTCTTTCAGACTTGCTTCATGACCTACTTCTATACACTCCAATGACTCTGAAATAGGGTTAACGATACCGAGTCACATCTCACTATTATCAGTACATAAAAGAATTAGGTCACTCTGAAGTTTTAAAATCTGTAGTTAAATCTTTACAATAATGGCCTTAGGAGAGTCCAGAGTAGAGTTAACTTTTTATAAGGCTCTATACTATTACCTTTCCAAAGCTGCCCACCATCTCCTGTACCAGAGAACGCATGGGAGCAATGTAGATGATCTTGAAGTTATCTACATTGATGGTACCATCCACGTTAATGTGCTTCCCAATCTCCCGGAGCATACACATCAATGCCACATTAGTTTTGCCAGCACCCTAGGACAAATAGCAAAAAACATGAGGTGGGTAAGAGGGCAAAGTAAGCTAAATTCATTCCTTGTCCTCATCTCAGGTGACTATATAACAGTATCCTACTTTGGATTTTGTTATTTGTTCAGTTGTTTCAGTCCTATCTGGCTCTTCATGATGTCATTTGGGGTTTTCTTGGCAAAGTATATGGAGTGGTTTGCAATTTCTTTCTCTCGATCACTTTACAGATGAGGACACTGAGTCAAACAGGTTTACGTGACCTGCCAAGGGTCACATAGCTAGTAAGCGTCTGAGGCTGGATTTGAACTCAGGTCTTCCTGCCTCCAGGCCCGGTGCACTGTACCACCTAAGTGTCCTTATTCTTTTTTGGTTCAAAATCCCTCCACTAATAAAAGGCAGATACACCTTGACCAAACTGTATAGCTGATCTCAAAAGAAAGAGGAAGAATCTATGGAGTTCATACCGTGGGAGCACACAGCAACAGATTCTCATCAGTGTCCAATGCAGCACGGTAGAGTTTGCTCTGTATCCGATTAAGTGTTTTAAATCCCTCAAATCCAGCCTGGGCATATTTTTGTAGCTTCTCCACTGGCAGCAATTGCTAAGAAGACAAAATGGCATACACATCATGTCGAAAAAGTCTCAAACATTTGGTAGTCTACCTTGCTAAAAAAATCTGACTCTGCCGAATGCCAGAATTTCCTTGAACCATTAGCTTCTGGAAAGACAATATTAATTTGTCAAAATGGGCGAATGTACCAGATAAGGCATTTAATGCTTGAATTTCAAATGACTTCATTACTGTCAAAGCATAAGCATTAATGAGCCCAAGCATGTAAAATGTAGTGTCATTATGGATAAGTTTTAACAGTGTCCTCAGCTCAGAGTCTGCTACAAAACTAAGAGAAAACCCCCAGATCCCAGAAAGGGCCCAAACATTCAAACTGAAAAATAAATGTGAGGTTGGACAAAGGTAACAGCTTATCAATAAAGGAACTCACCTCTTCAGGGCCAAAGGGTTTGGGCTTCAGAGCAGGTACATGTACCTCTTCATAGCCCTTGCGCTGGCGGCGGAAGGATCCATCAGGAAGCTGACAGCGTTTATTAGCCATGAAATGGCTTCCTTGGGTGAAGACCAGATCCTCCAAGTCTAGAACCTGCCTTGGGGCCAGTGCCTGGAAAGATCAAAGAAAGCACAATTCGCCAGAAAGCTGCTTTCGCCTTCTTAAATTTCAATACTTTCATTGTGTCAGCTGTTTGAAACAGCCGTGCTGACCTACCTCCCCACTCTGATCTAGATCCATGGTTTCCAGATCTGTGTCCATTCGAGACTGACGTACACGTTCCCTCCTGGACCGCTCCTCCTAGAGTGGATAAAAGACAAGTATCACCTTCAACCTCAGGCTCTTTATAATGCACCTATTTAAACCAAACTTAGCTTGGAAAGGGTCAGTGCTAACAATTTAAAACAGAAAGGTCCTCATTTCTGACACTTGCCACAGCGTGCTCACAAAAGCATGTGGACAGCCTCTAGCCAGCATGGCAGTCTGGAGTAAAAGGAACCACATAGTGCCAGTAAAGCACTTATGGTCTTTTCACTACGGCCTATCTGAACTTACCAGATCTAATGTGACCCACTAACATGTACTCAAGTGGACAAAATAACATTCTACTCCACATTTTAGCTCTTTAGGAACCATTTAATAATTTAATTCTTTCAAAGACAATCACTGAAGTCAGAAAGCAGATTAAAAAATTATAGCCCAAACCTTACCCGGATCAGATCTTCCTTCTCAGTTTCATGGAGTTGGTAGAGGAACTTCGAGAGCTCTGGATCAGACTCCATCTTTCCCATGATTCTTTCCTTTTCAGCTTCACTCTGTGCACTAGCCAGCAAAGTACAATATAAGACTGCCAAACAGAAAGGAAAAAAGATGAAACATAAATAATGGAATAGAGAAGGAATAACAGGATAATGGGGAATCCAAGTTACTATGTTATGGGAATCATAGAGATGAAAACAATAGTCTCAAACACACATACAAAATGAAGAGACAGAACCCCGTGAATACTTACTCATCATCCTATGTTGTCTCAGCACTTTAATAAAATCGAATGTGTTGAAACCCAGGAGCAGAACTAGCTGATTCTCACACTCCCGATCATCACTGGCTGTCTATATAGACACAAGGTATGATTAGAATTGACATAGCAGTTTGTTCTTACCACATTACTTTCCCTAGGCTGTTGTTTTGGCCTTGTCTTATTGAAGAAGACCAGTGACATCATGGGTGATGTCTTGACTTGCACAGGAACTGGATTTAAGTGAGGCAGAGTTGCACAAAGTTTCAGCCTCATTCTTTCTTTTTTCTTTTTTAGGCAATCGGGGTTAAGTGACTTGCCCTTGCCCAGGGTCACAGAGCTAGTAAGTATCAAGTGTTTGGTCTGAGGCCAGATTTGAACTCAGGTCCTCCCGACTTCAGGGCCGGTGCTCTATCCACTGCGCCACCTAGCTGCCCTAGCCTCATTCTTTCTTCCAGAGTCATGTAAGTCCAATAGCAGGACAAAAGTCAGTATGACTGGCAATGACCTGGGATACAGTGAATGACCTTGGTGTCTTCAACGTCTGACCAAGCTTTAAGTACTTCACAGCATCTGCTTTAGTCACCCTCATGGACACTGGAACAAACTGTTTTCACCCACTATCCCACTGGGTGAAGTCTTCAATTGCTTGGAACAGACATCCCCTTAACTCACAAATGGGTTTGAGGTCTGTCAGTTACCCTTAACCTGATTTAGCCCATCTGCCAAGACTGTTTCACCAGGGAGGGGCCACTAATCATGCTTCAGCTTCTTGGAGCCACAGGTGAGAGTTGGGTGAAGAGGTGGACACCAAAGGTGGACGAGTGGCCCTGAAAAGGGCCTGGCAAGCCCTCAAACCAGAGGTGCTGGTCTTCCCTGAACATCTCATACACTTTCCCTATGTAGTCATGCCACTGAATAAAAAGAATAAAAAGAATGACTGACTGGGTAGCCACTTGTCTAAAGGAATGGCACTGTCCTTAAACTACCCTCAACATACCTTCAAGATCTCCAGTACTTCATCTGCCTTCTTCTGAGATACAATGGCATCATCATAGAATCGGCTAAGTTGTCGCTGTAGCCAAAAGGCATCAATGTCCCGGGGATGCAAATCCTTTTTCTTGGAGCTCATCAGCTCACCTGAGGCTACAAGCTATAAAAATAACTTTTATCATTAACTCAATACTTCTTAATATGTCCCAACTACTCTTTCCAATGTTTGAAATCAAGCCATATTCCCAACCACAAAGTCAACTGTGCCTTTGATATCTTTTCAAAAACAGTTATGTAATTTTCCCCCTCGGTCAACTGAAGTAGGAGCTCACCAATCCCAGGCTCCAGGCAATCATTTTTTCCCCCTTCCTGAAAAACTATGAAAATCAAGAGATTAGCTCCTCACCTTTGGGTTCGCCCTCAAAGAGGTATCATTACAAGTTTACCTCTATAACCTAGGGGGTGAGAATAGTATGCTACACCAAGAAATAAACTGGTCTTCAGCCCTACTTTTAGTCTATTCCATAGATTGTGAGAAGAGTGGAGAGGCTGTACTCACATTGGCTGAGAGGGTGCAACGCACAACGGCCTCATCCCCTTCCATATCATCATCAGATGCTTCTTCTCGCACCTCCCCATACACATCCTCATCACCTTCCTGTAGATATATTTAATGAGTCAGAGCAGACCTTGGTGGTTCTATAAAAGTCTATTAGTCCTAAATCACTCAAAATTAGCTTCTTACATCAGAATCCTTAGGATGAAAATATCAAATGAACCAACAAAAACTATATTAAGCATAGAAAACAGGGTCATGTGAATTCATTAATCTGATTTTTCATCTCTTTCTTACTCCAAACCAAGGACTTAATCCATAGGGTATCATTCCTCAAAGGGGCAATTACCTCAACGGGGTAATATGAAAAGAGACAAAGTCTCTAATGGTCTGGGTTTCCAAAATTAAAATTTTGGACTAATGAAGCTTTTTAGAATAAGCAGGTAACATGAAATGAAAGTCTTATAGTAATACACTTGGAAGAGCAAAACAATCAGTGACTGCTAGGTCTATATCCCAAAGACATCCCAAAAAGGGGAAAAAAGGACTTATTTGAACAAAAATATTTATAGCAGCACTTTTTGTGGTTGCTGAGAACTGGAAATCAGAGGGATGCCCATCAACTGGGGAATGGCTAAACAAGTTATGGTATATGATTGTGATGGAAAATTATTGTGCTATAAGAAATGACAAGCAGGATTTCAGAAAAACATGGAAAGACTTACATAAACTGTGAAGCATAGTGAACAGAACCAGAAGAACAGTATCAGCAATATTGTTCGATGAAGAACTGTGAATGACTTAGCTATTCTCAGCAATACAATGATCCAAGACAATCTCAAAGGAGTAATGATGAAGCATACTATCTGCCTCCAGAGAAAGAACTGATATTGTTAGGAATACGAGGGAAGCATCCTATTTTTTCACTTTCTTTCTTTCATTTACTCTAGTCTTCCTGTACAAGATGACTAATATGGAAATGCTCTACATAAATGCACATGTATAAACCTGTATCTGATGCTTACTGTCTCGAGGAGGGGAGAGGAAAACAATAGAATTTGGAACTCAAAACTTTAATAAAAATGTTAAAATATTTTTAAAAAAATCAATGACAGCAATGTGCACTAGAATTCAAAGTTGAAAGGAATATTAGAGATTGTGTACTTCAATACCTTCATTGTATGGTTAAGAAAACTGAAGCCAAGAGAAAGTCTGTGGGCTGCTGCCCCACACAATGTTTAGAGGCAGGCCCCCAGACTCAAAATTACAGGCTTCTTGAACTATACAATGTGGCACTTCATTTCATGACATGAGGTGCCACAAGGAGAGTCATGACAGTCAAGAGCAGTACAGTTTGGAATAAAAGCTTAATCATAAAATATTATAAAGGAAGATGGAAGATTATAAGTAGTACTGTCTCATAAAACAGAAAAAAGAAGTGGAGACAGCCAGAGATCAATCCTGATAGGTTTTATATATGGAACTGGAAAGAACAACTAGATGTAGAACCCAAGCGGTGTGGATAAGTGAAAATGACACTGAAGATTAACTCAGGTAGAGCAGTTAGACCTGAATAAAGAAGTAGAGGAAAAATGACCTGTGCTAGAGGCAACATAGGGATCAATTTTCAAAAGTATCAAAAAAGAGATGATTCTAAAAGAAAGGGATAGGGTTATGCAAAGTATTATTAGCAAAAACCCAAAATAACCCCCCCCAGCAACTATTAATACACATCTACCTTCTTACTGCTATGAAATCATATGGAAATGTTTTATGCACACATTAAGGTTAAACTTCATGAAACAATGGGAAAAGAAACAAGCAAGTTTTCACAGAAGCTTTGCTATAGCAGATGACATTCTCAGTCACACAACTGACTCAAAGGTATAGAGAATGAAGGATGCCACTGTTATTGCTTATTACCCCAAAAGCACTAGATTGGGTACAGCAAACACAGACTTTAAAGCTTTCCTCCAATGCAGTATTTCCTATTTATAATACAGAGATAACTTTATTCAAAGAGCTTGAGCACTACCACCAAACAAAGAGATGCTTGTCAATGGTATGTGTGAGTGTCATAGAACACTTCAAGTGCAAAGTACAAAACAGAAGATTCCCTATAAATGGTGAGAGTCACCTAATACTCTTTTTTGCAGATAACAATCTGCTAGTTGTATTGAATGTTAGAACACTACAGATACTCCTTCAATGAGATAGATTCATGGTCACTCAAAAGACTGGTTTAGCAACCCAAAAAAGAATGCACTGTCCAGATGATAATGTGGCTGAATAGGTAGCACACTGAATTGTCCTATTAGACCATGTATCTTGGGACAAGTGTTCCCAAAGAACAACAAGCTGGATAGGGATAGAAGAGGAGGGAGATGGACTGCATTTGGGAAAGTCAGTCAGTCAATAGCACAGTGCTTTGGTGATTCCAAGCTGCTCCATTCCACAAATGCCAATCTTTGTAACAGTAGTATTCTCCTGGCAATACTTATGGCTGTGAATCATGGAGCAACATGATCTCAGGACTCAATTTCAGAAGAATCAAAGAGCCATGTTAAGATACATGAGTGTGAATATAGGCAGCAAGTTATTACCAATGCAACAAACATTTATTAAGTACTAAGTGTCTACATTGTGCAAAGTACTGGGTATACAAAGAAAGGCAAAAGACAATCCCTGCTCTCATGAAGCTCAAAGTCTAATGGGGGACAACATGCAAACTACTATGTACAAATGAGATATTTGTGGGATAAATTGGAGATAATCAACAGAAGGAAAGTATTAGTATTAAGGGAGATCAAAAAAGGCTTCTTGCAGAAAGTGAGATTTCAGTTAGAATGTAAAGGAAGCCAGGGAATCTAGGAGGCAGAGATGAAGAGTGACAGCATTCCAAGCATGGGGGACAGCCAGTGAAAATGTACAGAGTTGGAAGATTGAGGGTCTTGAGCAACGAACAGCAGGAAGGCAAGTGTTACAGGACTGCAGAGTACGGTCTAAGAAAACTGGAAACATGGGAAGGGGCCAAATTATAAAGAGCTCGGAATGCCAAATAGATAATTTTGTATTAGATCCCAGCAGGAATAAGCAGCCAGGGGGATTTACTGAAGGGGGTAGGGTGACATGGTTAGGCTGCCACCTTTGGAAGATCAATTTGACAGATGAATAGAGGATGAACTGGAATGGGGAGACGAGATAGGGAAACTAACCAGAAGGTTCTTACAATAATCCAGACATGAGGTGATAATAGCCTGCACTAGGATGGTAGCAGCGTCAAAGGAAAGACGAGGGTACATATGAAAAGTGTAAAAGTAAAATTGACAGGGCATGGCAAAAATTGATATAAAAAATGAGAAAGTGAGGAGTCAAGGATGACACATAGGTTGTGAGCCTGGATAACTGAGAAGATAATGGCATCCTCCACAGTAACAGAAAAGATAGAAAAGGCAAGGCTGGGGGACAGAGGTAGAGAAGGGAAGAGGACAGTAAGTTTAGTTACAGATATGTTGAGTTTAAGTTATCTATGGGACATTCAGTTCATGATGTCTAAGAGGCAGATGGAAATGTGAGTCTAGAAGTCAGAAGAAAGGTTAGGATTGGATATTAAGTGGACCTGAGAACATTAGGATAGAGATAACTGAATCCATGGGAGCACATAAGATCACCAAGCAAAATGGAATAGAGGGAGAAAAAGAAACGGGCTCAGGACCAAGCCTTGGGGGACAACCAGGGTAGGCAGGCATGATCTGGATGAAGATCTAGTAAAGGAGACTGAGGAGAGGTCTGACAGGTAGGAGAACTAAAATAGTATCACAGAAACCCAGTGAAGAAAATATCAAAGAGATGAGGGTGATGGACAGGGTCCAAGGCTGCAGAGAAGACAAGAAAGATAAGAACTGAAGGACTTGGCAATTAAGAGATCTTTGGTAACTTTGGAGAAAGAAATTTCATTTGAATGAGGTTGGAAGTCAGATTATGGAGAGTTAAGAAAAAGGTGAGAGTAGAAAAAGTGGAGAACCTAGTATAGATGGCTTTCTCAAGGAGTTTAGAAACAAAAGGTAGGATAGATAAAGGATGATACCTAGAAGTGATGGGAGAGATCAAGTGAGGGTTTTTTGAGGATGGGTGAAGAGATAGGCATGTTTGTAGGCTATAAGAATGGGGCTTGAAAGTTTAAAAAGAATTCCATGACAGGAGACTCCCTGGAAGCTAATAATAATAATACTAATAATAGCAGCAGTAATAATAATAGCTAGGATTTATACAGCACTTTAAGCTTTGCAAAACAATTTACAAATATGGTCTCACTTTATCCTCACAACAATTCTGAGAGGTAGGTGCTAATATTATTTCCATTTTGCAGATGAGAAAACTGAGACAGACAGAGGCTGAATTTGAATTCAGGTCTTCCTGCCTCCAGGTCCAGTGCTCTAGCTATTGTGCTACCTAGCCACCTCATTAGGCCAATACCATGAAAGATAGAAAAGTGCGGAATTATTACTCGCTTTCACAGTTCATCACTTACCTCTTCATCTGACTCAAACTGCACATTTACACCATATGTCTCATCAATGTTATCATCTAAAAAGGAAAATGAAGGAATTAAGAGTGAGTTGTCTAAGGAAAGAGAGAGAGGTAAGACAATAAATCTTTGCCTTTCACAGTACCCCTAATTATCTTCAGGAATGCTAAAACGATGGTTGGGAATTCACCACTATGTATCACTTCAAGGTAAAAACTTCAACCCTATAAATACCAGAAAGAAAAAAGTCACCAAGCTTCATCAAAGAGCAGAGTGGCAAAATTCCAGAAATGTTCTTAATAACAATTTTATATGCCAGCTTAAAGTTTCTAAAAGACGTTACATGCATTATCTCATTTAACCTTCACAAATACTCTGAGGCAAAAACTGCAGGTATAATTGTTTTAATCTTGTAGATAAGGAAGCAAGCTTCAAGAGGTTAGGCTACTTGCTTTTACTAAGTGGGACTGAATCCAGATCTCATTTAACTCCTTCCTGTGTTCCTTCCACTTCACCAGGGATGGAGAATCTGTGGCTTTGAGGCCACATGTGGCCTTCTAGGTCCTTGAGTGTGGCTTTTTGACTGAGTCCAAGTTTTACAGAACAAATCCTTTTATTAAAGGGATTTGTTCTGTGAAGTTTGGATTCAAAGGGCTGCACTTGAGGACCTAGAAGGCCACAGGTTCCCTACCCTTACACTATACCATTCTGCCTCTTTAAGAGTTTAAAGCAGGGATTCTTAACCTGCAATCCAGTAACCTGCCTTTAAAAATATTTTAATTATTATTTTAATATAATTGGTTTCCTTTGTATTGCTACGTATGTTATTTTATGCCTTCAAAACATTATTCTGAGAAAACTCCACCTGTCTGCCAAAGTGGTCCAGGACACAAGAAAGGCTAAGAACTGCTGGTTTAAAGAGACCTAAAAGGGCAGCTAGTCTCACCCAAACCTGAGTAAGAACACTCTCTACAACAGACTCAACAAGAGGTTACGCTACCTTTGCCTGAAGATGTCTAATGAAGAACCCATGACCTTTCAGGCAGCCACTACACTTTTGGGTAGCACTAATTTTCTTAATCAAGAAATGTTTTTCTTATATTCAGATGAAATTTGCCTTTCTGCAGTTTTCACCCTGTGTTCCTAGTTCTACCTGGTAAGGGTCCCCAAAGTGGGTGATACTGCCCCCTGTGGGGTGCTGGAATGATCCAGGTGGGGCTGTAGTAGCTTCAGGTGCAACTGGGGGGCACTGAACAAAAAGAAGGGTGCAGTGGAAGCATAAGAGAAGAAAATTTTGAAAAACCATTCGTATATATTTCATCTGTTGTGTTACAGAGTTAAAGTTATAGTGATTACATTATTTTTGAAATAAACACACAAAATGCCAGGTATAACCAATTGGTGGTCAAATCCACTGACAGGTCTTAACAAGGAAGTGTTGGTAGGCAAGTGTGTCGCACGTTGTTGGGAAGTCCAGCATGCATCAGCAGGAATATGTGTGTGTAATGACTTGTTTACAGCACAATACTATATGGTTACATATTGCATCATCAAAATTGCAATGCAGGGAAAAAAAATCTACAAATTTACAATAAATTATTAAATTTAAGATGCATCTTTTTAGAAAAATACATAAGAAGGTAGATCTCCAGGGGGATACCGAGTAATTTTTTTTTGAAAAGGGGGTGGTAGGCCAAATAAGTTTGGGAACCTCTGCTCTAGGACCAAGCAAAACAAGTCTTTCATATAACAACGATCCTAATACTCAAATACCGTTATCGCATTCCACTTAAGCAAGCCTTCTTTTATGCCCAAATACTTCTATTTCAACCAGACAACAGCTATCCAGTGGGGTTGGTTTTTTTTTTTTTGGTTTTTTGCTAGGCAATGGGGTTAAGTGACTTGCCCAGGGTCACACAGCTAGTATTACGTGTCTGAGGCCAGATTTGTGGAACATAGGTTTTAAAGAGCTATGTTACCCATATTCTGGATTTCCTTGTCTCCACCATAATCTGTTATCTTTTTGCCCAAATTCACCAACACATGGTATCGGGTATCATCTGTCTGGCCCAGCAGTAGGTCAATCTCTTTTCTTCTTTCCTTGTCACGGAGTTTCTCATTTTTCAAGACAGCTAAGACCTCATCTGCTGCACCACAAAGGATATCCCGTGGCTGATGGAAGAAAAAGAAACGTGTTGTTTTAGAGTCATGATACTTAAGCTAGCCATCAAGCCACAACAAACTTTAATAAATAACCTAGAGTCCATCAAATTTTTTTAGTTTCTCTATTAAACCATATGATATAAGACATAAAGCAGTTGTGGTTCTTTTGGTTGAAGATATGCACACAGTTTCAAAATCACACAAACATGACTATTGCTTTTTTAAAGGGAAGCACAAACTGCTTTTAGAAGGGAAAAAGTAAATGCCTTGACAAGTTGGACAAAAGCTTCCCCTAATCGATTTATCCCATGTCTTCAGTAAATTAAGTATACTTAGTCCCTAGAAAACACCAAAGTACTTATTAGCAATTATGATCTACTTCAATGCATTGTCTTAAAGACATATGAGGGCCCCCAACCTAAACAGGCAGTTAATTTGGGACAGTTTGATATGGAAGAAGTCCTATCAGAAAACAGAATTTCAGGTGCCCGGACTCTCTCAACAAAAACATGGCATCTTCCCTTAGTTGCTTTGTCTAGAAACTTACCTGATCCCCCAGTGCTGCTTGGATAAAGCTGAGTAGCACCTCATAGGTTTCACGGGTCTCCTTGGTTTTGGGTTTATAGATGATACCCACCATCTCATCAATGCCTTCTGACAGCAGCGTATAGCCTTTCATCTTATTGATGTCATGCCTGTCCTCATCACGCTTTCTTCGTCTGAGTGCAGAGAACCAAGAAAGAAAGTTGATCAAGACCCCTCCCTACCACTTCTCACCCACATGATAAGACTAATTAAAAAACACACCCTTTTTCCTTTCAGCTTCTCTTTGTGGAAACAACACAATGGATGTCTTCCCAAAGTGAATCAAACTGGCCTCATTTAACTTCAGGAATCATCCTGTTACGGTAATGACAGCCAGAAAATTCCCATGCTGGTTTTCACCAAATGCTTTAAAATTTTAAAGATTTGACACTTGATTACAACTCATATTTTCTGATGCTTTTTTCTCAGTGTCACGAAGCAATTTTATTTTGATCACTTTTTTCTATATGTGAGAAATTTCTTTTTTATAATCAGAGAACTTGAGAGCAAAAGAAAATTAAATAAATGATCTAGTAAGTCTCTTTGGGAAGGGAAAAAGCCTGAAGATACTGTGCTAGGAAAAAAGAACCAGTTCTGCAAAAGAACTTTTTTTGGTGGCTTTCTGGTAAGGCAATTTGGGTTAAGTGACTTGCCTGAGGTCACACAGCTAGTAAGTGTCAAGTGTCTGAGGCCACATTTGAACTCCGGTCCTCCTGACCCCAAGGCTGGAACTCCATCCACTTTGCCACCTAGCTGCCCCAACATATTAATATTTTTAAAAAAAATTAATGAAGGGTTACTGTTTTCTGTAGAAACATTTGCTATAGGAGGGAACTATTTTGTCTTCATTTTCAATAAATCATCTCACTGCCAAATATGAAGCAGCAAAGCAACAGGGATAAAGACATAGGTTCTAATATCAGCTCTGTCATTAAGTACTTCCCACTCTATGAGTAAGTCACTGTATCAGTTACATCTTCTGAGAGGAAGATAAGCTGAGAGGAAAATAAGCTTGAGGAAGTCACACAGACAAGCTGGTTTTACAAATTCGTGTTATCCAATTCCTACTGGGCCCTCACTACAGCAAGGTAATCCTTCTATTCTTCCCTAATTGGTTCCCTATTTCACTTACCATAGAAACCATTCCAAATATTTTCTTCTCATAAATCTCACATATTGTCTCCTTCCCTGCTCCGAGATGAGGACCCTCCCATCATTTTACTAAGAAAACTGAGGCTATTTGATGTAAGCTCCTATTTTTCTCTTTTTCAAAGCCCTTTGACATCATTCCCAATAGTCTATTCCTTTCCCCCAGTTTGAGAGTAAGATGGTCCTTCTCCTTGGCAAGGCCAGGCCCTCTAGATTTGCTCCTGATCCAATTCCTTCCCATCTTCTCTAATAGACTGCAATCTTAATCTTATCCCCACTCTCTCAAATCTTCAATCTCTTTTTATCCACAGGTTTCTTCCCTACTGCTTTCAAACAGTCTCATGTCTCTATCATCCTTAAAAAACCTTTGCTAGATCCTACCATCATCTCAAGCTATCATCCTCTGTATCGACTCCCTTCTTAGACAAGCTTTTCAATGTCCCTCTTCCCCCCAGTAAATAAAAAAGCTCTATACACTCCCTATACTTCTATTTCCTCTTCTTAATCACTGCAATTTGGCATCTGATCTGATCACTCAACTCAACTGAAACTGCTCTTTCCAAAGTTACCATCAATCTCTTAATTTCCATATTTGTCTTTTTCCAGTCTTGATACCTCTCAACCTCTCTGCTGTTTCTGACACTGTGGCCCACTCTCTTTTCCTGATACTCTCTCTTCTGGGTTTTGGTGACACTACTCTTTTCTGGTTTTCTTATTGTTGAATCTCTTGTTCTAAGTACACTTCACTGGCTCATCATTCATATCACAGCCCCTAACTGTGGGTGTTCCTCAAAGCTCTGTCCTGGGCCTTCTTTTCTTTTCTCCTTGTATGTTCAGACGCAATCTTTCCTCTGAGCTTCAGTCTTCCAGCACCTAGTGGATGTTACAAAGTCTGTCCTGGAGATATGTCATACTCAACATGCCTAAAACTGAACATAAATTCTCCCCAATACTTCCCTCTTCCAAACCTTCCTAATTCTGTTGAAGACACCACCATTCTTCCAGTTTCCCAGGTTTAGAATAAGTATAATCCTGGACTACTCAATATCACTGCACATATCCAATCAGTTGTCTAATCTTGACATTTCCAGCTCCATATCTTTTGCATCTGAGCCCTTCTCTCTACTCACTCAGCTATTACCTTAGTTTGCCCTCATTTCCTCACCTACATTACTGTAACATCCTCCTCAAACTTCTCCCAATTGTAGTCCATTCTCTATACTGCTGGGAGAGTGATTTTCCTTCAGTACAAATCTGACCTCGTAACTTAACTACTCAACCATCTCCAGAAGTTCCCCACTGCCTCTAGCTTCCAACATAAAAACTTCTGTTTAGCTTTTCAAGCCTTCCACAAAGTGGCCTGAACTTATCTTTCCAACCTCACTGGACTTTACTCTTTCTTCTGAATTCTGAGATCCAGCCAAACTCATGTTTTCTCTGTTCCTCACACAAGAGACAATGCATTTCCCTGCCGTGGTACTCGATGTCTGCCCCCCCCCCCCGCCTGAAATGCATCCCTTCCTGACCTCACAGAATTTCTCTCTTTCTTCAAGATGTACCTCAAGTCCCACTTTCTACATGAAGCCTTTCCTGAGCTCCCAACTACTACTGTCTTCCCTCCCAGGCTACCTTGTGTTTAACTATTTCTTATTTATTATCTTTATATTTATTCTGTGTATACTCATATAAGTATCATCCATCATCTTGTAAACTTAAGTAGGGACTATTTCATTTTTAAAAATTTATATCCCCAGGCTCAGATTCTTAAAATCTAGCCAATACAGTGTTACAAACGTTCAGATTCCTTAAGACTCTGGCCAACATGGCAAATCTTTAATAAACCTTGTCTTTGGCTGAAAAAAAAAAATTATATCCCCAGTGAATGAATAAGTAAATTTTAAGAAACATTTATTAAGGGCTTACTATGTGCAAAGTACTATATAAAGTGCTGGAATACAAATAGTAAAGACAGTCCCTGCTCTTGAAGAACTCAATTTGATAAGGGAAACAAGACATAAAGAAAGTTTCAGCTTCAAGTCAAATAGAAAGGTCCCATGGTCTTCTGGGTGCAGTAGCAAAGCACATAACTAATGTCTTCTCTTTAATGTCATTTCTACCAATAAAATTATAACAGTTTCAGCTGTTAAGTTGTTTGACAATGCAAAGAACTTTGGTGGCAAGAACTTTCATTTATGGATCTTTAGTAGTTGTAAGTATAGCACTTTCAGAACAATGCCTGTCATAGAATAGGTAATAAAACTTATTGACTGATTCTGTATAATGAAGGGGATAGACTACAAGATCTCTAATACATCTTTCAGCACCAGCATTCTACATTTCATTCACTTGTAAAACAACACTTATGAAGTACCTATATGTGACATAAAGTTTAGAAGGATCCCTAAAATCCTTTAGGGATTTCCAGTCAAGTAGTTCCATACTCAAGCTTCAAGCATTTCAACAAAAGATACGTGAAAATCAGAAGGTGGTTTCAAGGAAAAGAATGGAATTCTCTATACACTCACTTGGCTCTTCTTTCCTCTTGCATCTGGGGTTTGGTCCTTTGTGCTTTATCACCCATTCGAGTACCCTCCAGTTTCCCCACCAGTGAAAGTACCTCCCCTGTTGGCTCATCACGACGTGTTCGGTCAATAAGAGAGCGGTCAGCTTGGAGGACAAGGTTGGAGTTCTGGAATAATCACAATATTAACAGAGCTAGAACAAAAGTGGGATCTGGCACTGGTAGACCCAATTCCTGTAAATGTTTCCTTTACCTAGATGATAATTCTTGAGAATGTGTACTGGTTTCACACGTATAATGAGCATCGTAATGCTTGCCTTTCTCAATTAGTGGGGGAGGGTCTGGAGAAAGAGTATGTGGAACCCAAAAACAATTTTTAAAATAAATGCTAAAAATTGATAAGCAAAAATATTTTGAAGAAAGAATAACTATGCACTTATGCATGGCCACTTCATAACAGTACACGTAGATATGGCACTTACTGGCTAAAATTAGCAAATTACAAATTATTGTAACTTGCCGAATAAGAGGATTCCCCATTCTCGGGAATGCCTCCTGAAAATAGCACCTACAGTAAGTACACAACTTGGTATCTAAGAACACAGGTGTGTCTGACGGCGGGAGACAATGTATTAAGAGTCCGGTCTCTTCGTCCCATCCTTTTTCCTATTCCTTCAGGATTTATGGGTGTCCCTAGTAGTCTCCAAGCTCGGACTCTGTTTCAGGGACTCCCCTTCACCACTCCTTGCAATGTGGTCGACTCTAAAACCTTCTCTCCGCCTTTTACTCCTCCCTCCGTCTGTTCTCCAAGACCCGCAGAGATTTCTTCCCGTTCCCGCCTCCCGCCGCCCCAGGCCGAGCCGGGGCCTGACACTCACAGCCTTGTACTCATATTGCAGGCTCCGGGCAGTCACATCCGCCATGGCTGCGCCTGCTCAAGTACTCCGGCAAGAGGCCCCGAGCGTCGAATCTATCTTCTCAAAGCCCGGCTCTTCTACTATACTCTTCCAGTACAACGGACACACCACAGAAACTCTTCATACAAGCAGCGAAGGAAGGAAGGAAGGAGCCGAAAGCAGCTCACTTCCGCTTCCAGGTTACTCGACTAGGGAAATGCGCATGTGCAGAAAACCCCAAGTCTCTCAAGAGCGGGGAACGAGAAAGCAGGCTTCCCTTATGGCTCACGAGAGTCACGTGTCCGGTCGTTTTGGCCCGCACGGCTGCTGTTTGGACGCCACCGTGACGATTAGCTTGCCCGTGCGCATGTGCAATAGTAATCTCGAACAAGTCCGAAATTAAAGTAGAGTGAATGCTGCGCCTTCTTATACCGCCTTGAAAGCAAATTTAAAATAAACGTACCAATAAAAACAGGTCATTCCTTATACAAGACCGATATCGTAAACGTTTCCATGACTGGGACAACGAGCTTTTCTTGAAGTCAGGAAGACCTCAGTTCGAATTCCTAATATTCTTAAAATTCGAATTTCTTAAAGTTATCAAAGTTAAAATTCGAATTCTTAAAACACAATAGCTGCGGGACCCAGGGCAAATGACAACCTCTCTGTGCCTCAGTTTCCTCTCTAAAGTGGATAGTTGCGTAAATATTGGCTGGTTGTTTTTAATTATTGAAAAGAGCTCATAAACTGTGTGTGTCCCCAATTAGAACACAAACATTTAAGTGCCTGCTCTGTATCACGGAGGTGATTGCAGAGGTGTCCACACTGTAGTGATTTTGCTGGAAGACTACCTTTTTGTACCTGTGTCTGTCTCCAATGTCCTCCAAACACCTTATGAGGATGCTGGGGCTTCCTCTGAAGTTCCGGAGTTTTTTCTGTGGCTCTCCCTGGGGGAATCTTAGGTGTTGCTTAGTCAGTTGTTTATTGAGTTCTTACTATGTGTTAGGCCCTACATTAAGCCCTGGGAATAGAAATGCAAGCAGAAAGAAAGCTCCTTCCTTGAGGAGTTTATAGTCTAATGGAGAAGACAAAGGAGGAAGGGAAGGGGGAATGGAGATAGGAGTGGGGTGATGCTTTGGTAGAGGAAGTCCTGTGTAAATGAATCAGGAGTATGTCCTGGAGAGGAATAAAGATTGATGGGCCTGGGTCTCCTCTTTAAAATGGAAGTTCTGGGAGGAAACAGCCGAATAGAGAGGGAGACTTGCAAGGAGACTTCCAATAGAGAAATATTCCAGAGGTGGTGTGAGCTTCCAGGTGACCTCCAGTAAATCAATGCTGGGCGTAAGAGGAAACCTGGTGAGTCACAACGGAAGCCCCAGGGCTGACCTGGGTGATGGGACTTAGGGACACGATTTAAATCTGGGAAGGATTCTGGACTAAATAGCCTCTAAGAGCCCTTCCAGCTCTCAGTGTATGATCTCATCATCTTGAAGAACATGTCTCACTATTGAGAAAAATTAATATCATGCTGTATCATATTAATCTGAAATCCATCCTCTTCCCTATTTGGTCAGACCTCATTTTTTTCAGTTGAAACTCACCAGGCAATTTCTGAAGGGCTATGATCAAGTAATGTTATCACTCCCAGCCCCTAAGGCATCTGCTCATTAACCAGCTTGGGCTGGACCTCTCCCAAATGGGACAAGTCTCTTGTCCTTGCTTTTCCTTCATCAGAGTTAAGGGTGACTTGGTCTACAAGGGTTAGACCAAATAGGGGGAGCCTGATTAAAACGACTTTTATTTTTCTAGATAATCCAGGTGTAGGGGGTGTTCAGGAAGGAGTAGCACCACTGATGTAAGGCCTTATTGAGTCCTTTCCAAGACTGTTCATCCGCCTTTGGTGTCCACCTTCACCTGTCTTTAATCTGTGCCTCCAAGAAGCTGTAGCATGCACAGCAGCCATGCATCAGTAAAACCATCTCAGCAGATGTGCTAAACCAGATTGACAGACCTCAAATCCATTGGTGTGTTAGAGGGATGTCTACCTCAAACACTGGAAGACTTCTCCCAGGGGAATGGGTAGATGAGAATAACTTGTTCCAATGGCCATAAAGGCAGCTGAAGTAGGCATTGTGGAGTACTTAGAGTTTGGTCGGTCATCTAAGATGCCAAGTCATCCACTACATCCCAGGGCATCACCAGTCTTCTTGACTTTTGTCTTGCCACTGGACTTCTATGACTCTGGAAGAGAGTGAGGTTAATGACTTTGTGCAACTCTGCCCCACTTAAATCCAATTCATATGCAAGACATCACCGGTACTATCATTGGTCCTCTTTGAAAAAAAATGAAGGACAAACAAACAGCAACTCTGCCAGGAATGATTCTGCTGCTGCAGAGGCTATGAAACTTCAAAATATAGTTATTAAGAAAATGAGTGCCCTTCATGTATTACTAATATCCTTTTACAAAGTATGCGAGATGATTTGTGATTATGAAATTTATGAAGTTATACCTGAAATGGTATATATTGAAATTACATCTTGAATCATCCTAGTCTTAAGATTGCAGTCTTAGGGACTTAATTAAAAGGTCAATCTACAATACTTATTCTGAACAACATGAGAGTAATAATAACTGAATTCAGCTCCAAGCAATGATTAATGAAACTTGCCTATTAAGGTTGGATCTTTTTTTTTCTTTTTTTGGTGAGGCAATCAGGGTTAAGTGACTTGCCCAGGGTCACACAGCTAGTAAGTGTCAAGTGTCTGAGGCCAGATTTCAACTCAGGTCCTCCTGACTCCAGGGCTGGTGCTCTATCCACTGCACCACCTAGCTGCCCCAAGGTTGAATCTTATGGGACTGTAATTGGTATTCTGAATTTTATTCCAGATATAATAATAAGGAAATGTCATTGAGCCAATGATTCATAATTTCAGCTGCCCTATGGGAAAGACATCTGGGACCTACCACTGGTGGAGTTCTGTCTCAGGGAAAAGTCAGGGGAGTGACTTTTTATGTGAGCTGAAGTAGGACTCTCCCAACTGATTTCCCTAGTGCAACATTTCCTCTTGAATAGAAAAATTTCCCACTTGGCTAATTCTGAGCCTGGCTGTGACATAATGTTAATTGGCTGCCTATATGACTCTTGCCTGAAATTTACATCAAGCTAGGGGAGAATTTTCCCCTTACCATAGCTATGTCCTTCTTTTTCCTTTTATGACAAATTTTATGGCAGGTGGTCAGTAGAATATATGAACACAATTTTAAATCTTTAAGAAACTGATCCTGGAACACATCTAAGTTACTATAAGATGATATAAGTATATAAAATTTAAGTTATTCAGACTGAAGTTATAGTCCTTTCCATATCCTAAAGAACTAAGTAGATGAGTACTTGGGCTTGTCATCTGCAAGGTAGTAGTTATATATTTGTGTATAATGTTAACACACTCTGAAATGCTAGCAAATTACATGAGTTACATTAAATATGTCCTCACCTTTAGAGAGGATTTAAGAGCAGTAGTCTTAATTACTTGGTCTATTTACACACCCTGTTCCATATCTTTCAATATAATTGGAGTAAAATAAGCATCTCTTAAATAAATTCATTTGTGTGGCCATTAAACTTAAGCATAGAAGTCATCTACTTACAAAAAATGTTCTTACCTACGTGTTCCTAATAGGATTAGATCCTTAGCATCTCATCCTCCTAAGGGGGAGAGTGGGCAGCTAGAGTGAATAACTAGAGTACGTAACTAGAGTGAAAAAAAATTTTTTTGAGAAAACAACAAGATCAGATGATTATATATGTCAAGTATAAATGATTCTAATGGGGAGGTAGAAATGGTAAGATATAACAACTGATTGGATATGTGAAGCGAGAGAGAGTAAGGAGCCACACCAAAACTATGGAGGTGGGAGACTAGAAGAATGTCAGTGTCTTTTAATAGAAATAAGGAAGGTTAGAAGAGAGGAGAGTTTGAATAGGAAGATAGTAAGTTCAGTTTTGGACATGTAAAGTTTGAGGTATCTCTGGAACATCCAATTTTAATGTCCAAAATGGAATTAGTGCTGCCAGACTGGTGTTCTAGCCTAAAGCTAGATATTTAGACCTGTGAGTCATTGGTTACAGCAAATGAAGAAATTTTGAATGCTGTGGATAAGTTCCCTAACCTTGGCAGTTTTTCCAGGGATGTACATATGGATGACAAGATTGATGCACATATTGCCAGAGATAGCTCTGTGTTTGGGAGTATCCAAAGGAAAATGTGGGAGAGAAGACTGCCTACCAAACTGAAGGTCTACAAAGCTGTTGTGTTGCCCTCATTGTTGTATGCCTGTGAAATCTGAACAGTCTATCAGCGCCCTGCCGGGAAACTGAATTGCTTCTATTTTAATCGTCTTAGGAAGATTCTGAAGATTACCTGGCAAGATAAGGTGCCAGACATGGAGGTCCTTTCTTGAGCTAAACTGCCAACCATTTAAACTCTACTTCAGGGAGCCCAACTCATATGGGCTGGCTGTGTTGTTCAAATGGCAAACCTATGTTTGCCAAAAGACTATTTTAGAGAACTCATGAAAGGGAAGTATTCACATGGAGGTCAGAAGAAGCTATACAAGGACACTCTCAAGGTCTCTCTGAAGAACTTTGAAATTGATTGCATGACACGGGAGACCACCCAGCATGGCGTGCTCACGTCAAAGAAGGCACTGATGAGTGAAGCAGAACTGCAGTAGCTCAAAAAAAACATGAGATGTGTGAATTTAGAGGCATCTCCATTCCAAATGTTCATGTGGACTATTTATATCTGACCTGTGGTAGAGCCTTCTGAGCTTGTATTGTTCTGATCAGTCATAGTTGGACATGTTGTGCCTTGACTCCAATATAATGATGTCAATTTGGTCTTCAAGAACAAAGGACAACCAACCAACCAACCTAGAGATGATATTTAAACCTATGGAAGTTAATGAGGTTACCAAATGAGAGAGTGTAGAGAGAATAGAAAAGAGGGCTTAGGAAAGACCCTTGGGGAATACCTACAGATGAGGATCATGGTGTAGAAGATGGATCAGCAAAGAATTAGGAGTGCTTAGAGGAGAAACAGGAGAGAGTAGTGCCATGAAAACCCAGAGAGAAGAGAGTATCCAGAAAGAGAGAGT